TTTAATTAATGTACTAAAAATGTTGACTCATTATATTATTGCATGTAATTCAATTTATATGCATCATAATAATAATATGCAATGTGTATCGATTATCTGTTCACATTACTGTGGGATTATATTACTATATAGTGATGGACCTGAGAAACAATTACATTACACAGGGCGGTCATTTTATCGTGAACCACTCAATATCTCATAGGGTTTTATAAGAAATTTTTTTTTTTTTTTTGTAGTGTATTCAATTTTGTGTATTATTTATTTTGACAGCATGCACTTTCTTGATTCTCATAGTTCGTATGCAACACAATCCCGAGCTGTTAGTTGAAAAACATTTTCAAAGGTTTGGGCTTAGACCCCGTCGATTTGAATAATATCTCATTTATTGGTCACTTTCCTTGCTTTACAGATGAAATAATGGGTGGCGCCATCTATGATCAAAGAATCATAGACACCGGTTTCACGTGTACGGTCAGTGTACTTGCTTCGGCAGTACACAAAACACTAAACACTCTATGTCACTGTAAAATAAACATAAAATAATTCCATTTGCTTTGTTTGCCCAACGCCGTCCATCTCACTTGGTATTATGATCCTGAAGGACCACATTCATACCACTGTGTGTACTGTGATAATGACATTATTTTTCACATATTTTTGTCTCGACCCCTTCCCGGCCATCGGAGAGCGTTGGTTTTATAATATAATTGTATACATCTGTTGATTTTTTTAGCACCATTGCAATTTTGTAAAGAATCTTTTTAAAAGCATTTTCATTTATGTTAAAGCACAATACAGAGTGATCATTTTATCGTGAACCACTCGATATCTCATAGGGTTCTAATGAGAAGTTTAATATTGTTTTTTATACAATATGATTTCAATTTTTCAGAAGTTTTTTTTTTGTTTTTACCCCCCTCCCAACTTGAATTGAGAGCAATGTACTAAAAACTTTGGCTGGTTAATAACCAGTTTTGAACAACTATTTTTAAAGTTATAAGAGTTTAAAAGTTAGGATGGGAGGGGAAGTGCGGTTGGGAAATGCGCCCAGATAAAAATAATACTACCCTCCACCTTTCCTCATGCCCTAAACTTGAAACTTCAATAGCTTCAAAAATAGTTATCCGAAACTGGTTATCGACCAGTCGAAATGTTTGGTATATTATTCTCAATCTAAAAAGTTAATAAAATATATACGTTACCATTTAAAATTCAAAAGTTGCAGTCAAAAAAACTAAGTTAGAAGGGGGTAAAAACAAAAAAAAAGTTGTAAAAAATTAAAATTACATTGTATAAATACAATATGAAAAAAAAAATTTAATTTATTATTAAACCCTATGATATATTTAGTGGTTAATGATTATTTTTGACTGAGTATGATAATAATAGTATGTCTCTTAAACATTTTTGACTGAGTATGATAATAATAGTATGTCTCTTAAACATTTTACAATGGTACATAAATCTAAAAAAAATTATAGCCAATAATCTAGAAAGATTTTTTTAATTAACCGCTACAAGACTAGCAAGGTTAAACAGCGACATAATCACGACTTAGAAACTATTAATAAGTCCTTTATCGAAACGGTTTTTAATTGCTAGCTTTTAAATAAACACTTTGCATTCTAAGAAATATTGTAGTTTGATGTAATAATCTTTTTTAACATAACTAGTTTTAATAAATAAAGCGACCAATAATAAGGCATACACTGGTTCCTTTAAATGTAATTAGTTAATTAAGGATAATTCATCGTCAAATAACAAAACAAAAAACTGTGATATTTGATACTATTTACATAAATTTTATACTTAAAGTAATTTTTAAAAACCATCGCAATATATTGATTAATAATAATTGGATGTACCTACGCATTATTAATCCTGTTTTATATCCGAACAACACACGTTAACTTCCTGCACGTTACAATATATTGTACCTATTGCTTAAACTTTATTCCCTAATTTAACTAAATTATGCTGATAAACATGGGATACAAAGTATCAAAAGTGGTTGCCCGATCAGTCAATAATATTAAACAAAAAAAACACGATAATTAACCTAGTATTTACAATAAATAAAATGCATTAATATTTGCAGCCAATTATAAATTACAACGACCTATTAATATTATTTCAATAGTGTCTAAATTAAAAACAAATTACAAATAGAATGCATACAAAATATTGAAAATAATATACAAATACATTTTAATACTTCAAGACTATTGCCGTCCTCATAATTAAACTACCATAATTTATATACTTGTTGAGATGTAATAGTATAAAATGCTAGTCTCTATAAAAAACAAACATAAATAAACAGAAATACTAATAGTATATTAAGTAACAAAATATTATTTCTGAGTTGTGACATGATGGACTAATTAACAGGGTAATTTGAACTGTACAACATCAAATAATCAAAATCTACACATATTTTTCAAATTATAATTTATTGATTATTATTTGAACTGATTGTTTTATAATGAAGACAACTGCTGATACTTTTATAATTTAGATTTCATGTTAGTAGCAAGACGATTTTGCTTATCAAATTATTCTTAATGTACTATAGAGGTTATACCAAAAGTAATGTTAATAATAATTATAAATTTTAACAAAAATCAACACTATACTATTATAACCAATACAATTGAAAGCAAGAACAGTATTTATCAATATAGTAGTATGTATAAACCGATTTTATAGTACAGCATACACTAGTACAATATAAACTAATGCTATAGTCCAAATAAGAATAGTAAAAAGTGGATTTATGGCTAATTAAAAGTGATAACTGACAGAACTAGAGGCATAAAAAGGAATAAAAAGAAAATTAAAACAAACAACACGCGCGTTTTTATTACTTTAAAATAATAAGTAAATGAATAAGACAAAAAATCATTGAAAAAAAAAAAAAAATACTGCGATAAATCGATAATAAACAATAAACACTATGAGTAGTTTCCGTTAACATAACTTCAATTAAATGACGTTATAATTGTTTTCTACTTGTGTCAGTAGTAACGTTGTATAAAAATTTAACATGGACATAATAAAACTAATCGTTGTGTTCATCGTTGTGTTCATTCCGTTTGAAAAGCCAATTAGAACTACATACCGGGTTTAAGTTTTCTTAACAACAATTTTTATTTGTATTTCGTTCTAATCTTTCATAATGCGTAAAAGAAATGCAGAACGAGCTCCACGCACGACTCTCTTCTTTTAAAGATGCGTGTATGTATGATGTAAGGAAAGTATATGAATAAACACACATGTTGGTAATTTGTATTTATCATAGCAATATGTTTACTATTATTTTGTTATTATTATTATGAGACTCGTGTATAATAAATGTACGTTGTACGGCTTGATATTATTTGACAGTAATACAAATTGTTTTAACTATTATAAAAGCCATGCAACGGATAAAAAGTTTATTTGTCTTTACACATTATTTTTCGATTCATCTATTATTCATTATCTTATTCAAATGTTCTCAACTCTTCTTTCAATGTACTAATAATATGTCTGTTATTCCGGATCTATACATAATAAATAATATTACCTATATATGTCGGCAACAATCTACGCATCGAACCAATAAATGATAATATACCTATTGCCTAATATATTTTCTAAGAAATAAAAGTAAATTCTAACCTACTCAAAATATTTTTAATTTGTATAGGTTATTTCTGCTCAACCTGTAGCTTAGGCAAGTGTAATTCTTTTTTTTTAGTCAAACAAGTAGTCAATTATTATAACTTAAATATTAATACGTATAACCTAAATAAAAAATGATTTAGTTTATAAAATTGTTCGGAACCCATGTAATTAATAATTAAATTTAATTACTAAATTATAAGAATCGGATTTATATATTATCTGTAATTTTTGTTTATATCAGATTTAGACAATAGTTACTTTACAAAAAATAGTTTCTAATTAGGTATTTAAATACTAACATGTATCATGTTTTTTTTATAAACGTTAGTGTAAGTGTGTAATGTCTAAGTAAATAAAATAATATCAAAATTGTAATTAAAATATTATTGCTATTATGTAAAAACTAATTATATGAAATGATTATGTTTTTGAATATTAATATTGTTAATGAGTAAGTCGAAGTTTAAAATATTAATCTTGAACCTTGGATAATTAAGGCATAATATGTTAAAACATAAAATATATGACTTAACAACATCTACTCGCAGTGTGTATTTGCTACTTTATTTTAATACATCAAATTTATTTTTGTATATATGTATGATTTAATCAAACATTGTCCAGCAAAAAAAAAATGTATTAGAATACAAATTTTAAATGTTCACTTTTTTCCAATCAAAATTAACATTTTTAATTAAAATTAATTTGAAAAAAAAAAACTCTCCTATCAGTCATTAGTTAAAAACTAAAAATGATATAAGGGATAAAAAAATACTGTGGTATGATGGCTTTTGATTCTGTGATATTTTTATTCTGGGACCAAAATTTCCTCTGGAGATCCAAATGTCTTACTTTAGATCTAAATATACCCAAAGGACGACTTTTTGATCCTGAAAAGTATATCGATCCTGTAAACTATGAGAAAACAACATAATTTTGTTTAGTTCGTGCAATATGCTTTACCAATTGAACGATTTCGAACCTGACGTAATATATTATAGTGTTAAAACATAATTATTACGTTTTCATTTTTGTAGTACCGATAAGATTATAGACTCTATCTATGTGTTTTTAATAAAGAAATAATTCTAGGGTATTAGTATCATCAATTAACCTTTGGATCGTCCTCGTTTTTTTTTTTTGTTTTATATGCCTTCAATTAATTATTCTTACTTATTTGCATGCACCTACGCATTAACAGTTGTAATCAATGAATACAACTGTTGAATTGCGTAATTCTTTGAGGAAAGAAGAACCATTTATGGCAAGAACATTGTATAATTTACCATAAACATATTAAGGATAGTAATTTGTTTTTACTTTCTTTTTCTGTTTCAGATAATGCTTATTTGGTTCCTCCCAATGATTGTCGTCATAAAAAATAACAACGTTGGCTCTTAATTATTGTGTAACTAATAAGAGTTCAGTATATGATCAGTATCAATCACGTGATAATGTATCATCAATTATTATCAAGCGGATGTAACAACTAACAAGTAATACCATAGGAGAGAGGGGCATTTTATGTTTCTATAAAAGCCATAAGACTGGAGACTCCAACTAAATGTAAACAATCTGCCACGTAGATTCGAAGTTTAACGTAGTATATTATTTACAAAAACACATTTTTACCTTGAGCTATATTCGTGATCTGCTGAAAAATGAAAATTGGTAAGTAATCAATTTTGAACTTTATTTAAAATTAGTTTTTTTTTTAATGTTTATTCAATACATAATTAAAAAATATCACTTCGTTTTGATTTGTGCAGTATTTATTATGTGTTATAAAAATAAAGTTTAAATAAATATTTGTAAGGGAAAAAATGCATTTAACTCATAATCTAATTATAGTTCATATTTAAGTTAGATGTTTTATTATGTTTTTAAAATATAAAACCTAATAAAAGCATAGTTTTTTTTTTAAGTTCAAATATTAATATTACATTTTTTGGTTATAAATAATATTGTTAATACTAATATTTTTAAGTTATGAACAAATGCAATAATTTTAACCAAATGTCTAAATAGAAATAAAGTTTAAAAAAACAATACTGAACGAGAAAATCAGTAAATTTTTATTTTTATGGACTTCCTTATTAAGTTTTGACATTTTAATCAATTTTTCAGCAAATATTTTTTCTAGATTTGTATCTACAAATTGTATCTAAAATGATTATTAATAAGACTTGTCTACGGCAAGAACGGTTCATTTGAAATTCATTTAAACATATATAACATAGAAAAATATACTACTAAAAAAAAAATAACGGTCTGGCGTAATTAAAGTTTTTTTTTTAAATATTTCTAAAACAAGGAAATAAAAAATCAATTGCAATCATTGGATGTGGAGCCGCTGGTTTACCGGCTTTGAGACATTTTTCTGAAGATGAGTCATTTACGTGTGTGGCATTTGAACAAACTGACAGTGTTGGAGGTACTTGGGTGTACACCGATCAAATTGGCACAGATCAGTACGGACTTCCGGTCCATTCTAGCATGTACAAAAGCTTAAGGTAATTCGAAAGAATTTAATGATGAACTTTATGTATTTTGTTATTGTAAATGTTTAACGCGATGTGTGTGTAGGACCAATTTGCCAAAAGAAATTATGGAGTTGCCAGGATTTCCACATAAAGGTCCTGAAGACAAGTCATATGTGGCGGCCAACGAAATGCTTAAATACTTGGAAGACTATGCTCAACATTTTGGACTGACAAAACACATTAAGGTAATTAAATAACGGTCAAAGTATAAAAAGATGTAGCAAATGATTGATTTTTTTTTTTTTTTTAATTTTAGTTCCATCACCACGTTAAAGAAGTCTATCCTTTAGAAGGCGACCGATGGAGAGTAACAGTAGTTAATTTACAGTCGCAGCTTACTAAGACATTGGAATTTGATGGGGTCATTGTTTGCATAGGGTAAAATATTATGTTTGGTGCACACACCCACACACACACTGACCTGACAGAATACAAATTATATATGTTGACAATTGTGACATTTGCAGGAATTACAGCAACCCAGTAATACCAGACGTACCTGGAATACGAAAATTCCAAGGTATGAAAATACATAGTCACGATTATAGAGATTCGTCGATTTTCAAAGACAAATCAACAGTTGTTATTGGCTGTGGGCCTTCGGGTCTGGACATTTCGTTTGATATAGCCAAAGTAGCTTCAAAGGTAATTACTTTGAAGCTTTGAAGCTCAAAGGTGCTTTTCAAATAAAAACAAACATTTTATATACCAGGTATACTTAAGTCACCACAATCAAAGAGTTAAAAACATGAAATGCCCATCTAACATGGTACAGAAAGTCGACTTACAGGAAATGGTAGAAAACGGTGTTATTTTCAACGACGGTTCCTATGAAGAAGTAGATTGTGTACTGTATTGCACAGGTATTTTTTGTAACAGCGTTTATTATCTAATACCCTGCGACCTGTACATTGTACGTTTATATTTTTATTTTAGCTTCGATGCGAAGCTGAGGAGGTATTGTTTTTATAATGATGTGTTTTTATTGTTTATTATTTGATTAAGTCTGGTCTATGAACTCACGGTACTTCTTTAACCGCTGAACCGATTTCTTCGAGTATTAACTACTCTAACCTTAATACTAAAAATACTATTTTAAGCACATTATTGTATTCTTTTACAATCCTTTAGGAAAATTTGTAATTTACAGATTCGCATCAAAGCATTTGTTTGAAAGTGAATAACTTTCAGTTATAATAATTCCCGAAGACCTGTGACCTTCCCCACCATTTGCTAGCTTTTTAATATTTATAATCAGTGAGAGTTGTTATGAAGATAAATGTAGAGGGAAAGAGAGGAACGCCAAAGAAAATATTGATAGACGGAATAAAGAGTGATATGAAGATAGCTGGGGTGATTGAACGAGGTGTAGAAGATTGAGCTCTATGGATGTGTAGGACTAGGGTGGCCGACCCCGTGTAGTCGAGAGTGTAAGGCCAATATGAATAAAAGGATAATGCGATTTATATTGTTATATACTAAATAATTACCATCAATTCTATTTTGTTTTAGAACTATAACGAAATTTGGCCTCCTTAGGCTTGAAAAACCTGTGGCCTACATAGGCACTTTACCTGAATACCATCAGAATTTACATGTAATTATCTTGCATTTGAATGACTTGATTGACCTTTTCAAAGGTCTTAAAAATATATTTTTAGCAATTAAAAACCAATTATATCATTTAATGCAGACCCGGATTAAGGGGGGGGGGAGGTACATCCTAAGAAACCTCAGGCCTAAGATTTTACCTAACCTAACATTTTAGTTTTAACTTCGATAAAACCTTAGAAACAAAAGAAAATAAAGTTTTGCAAATTAATTAAAATCTGTTAAGATATTAACTCAAGTATTATTCTTTTATCTTTTTATAATTGTTTTTTAATTATACCTATTCGTTTTTTATGTTTAAACAACTATATTATTTTACAATAATAAAAATAAGTCTAGGTAATCGTAAACACAGGTTGCCAGTTAACACAGCCTACTATTCAATACTGTAACCTGTACAAAAAATAAATGACGTGAGTAATGAACTAAGTATTAAAATACTTTTTTTTTGTCAACTGAACATATTTTTAGTTTAAATTTAACAATAAAATATATTATATACGTAGATAATAAAATGTACTTTGAAATTTCGTTCATTATTGTACGTCATAAATATTATACTAAAGTACTATACTAGTAAACAGGTCTTCGGAATTTCATGATACATTAATTTGTTCTAGAAAAAAATTATTTTAGATAAATGAAGTTTTAAATAACTACGCAAATATGTAGTATTTTAAACCAATCATATTATAGTGTTTAACAACTTTTTACTACCTAACAACAAATTATTTTTCTCGTGTACCTAATCTTAAACGAAAAACGTTAAGTCCACTTCTCTTTGCGCTAAAATTTGTAAGCACAACAATTTTTGTCGGGGGTGTATCGACTGATTTAATCCGGGCCTGCCTTATTTTCAAAGATTTCATATAAGCTTCATTTCTAATATCATTATGTACTTGTTTACAACAGGGTATACATATAAGTACCCGTTTTTGAGTCCCGAATGCGGCATTCGCGTGGAGAACAACAACGTTAAGCCACTTTTCATGCACACGGTTAACATTGAGCATCCTACAATGTTCTTTGTTGGAATACCCACCAATACCACTGGTTTTTGTATGTACGATCTACAGGTATAGAACTACTCTAAACATCCAATAATATTTCATAATAAATTATATGTTAAATAATTCGCAATACAATTTTCCCTCCTTTAAAAATAGGTGCGATTCGCGAAAACCTTCTTGTCAGGCCGTAAACGTTTACCGAGTAAAGAAGACATGTTAGAAGACACCCGTAAAGATGTGGAGTCGAGACTGGAGAGTGGACTACGACCTAAAGAGCTCCACATGATGGGTCGGAAATCAAAAGACTACTTCGATTCACTGTCGGACTTAGCAGGGCTTGAACCTATAGCTCCTGTGGTGCTCCAAATTTATTTCGACGGATTTGATAGGTTCATGTGTGACTTTTCCCACTTCAGAGAAGATAAATACAAACTGCTGGACAATGAACACTATATGGTGCAGTTTCCCAATGAAGTCCACCCAATAATGAAAAAACAAGAAATAGTTTCGTAGTAATTTTTTGTATTAAAAAAAAACCCCTCCAAACTATAATAAAATATGTATTAAACTAGCCTTACTCTTAGCAAATATAATTTAAGTTTGTTAAGTATTAATATTATATATTTTGTATTATTATAGTTTTTTTTTTTTTAAATTGTAATAAATACAGTTTTATTTTTATAATTTTTTTTAAATATATAATTATGTTAATAAAATGTTGTGTCCTTTTTTATTACAACTATTAAATCATTTTTTAAGATATAACATTAATTTAGCTTTTATCCATGAATAGTGTATGTAAGTATAATAAGCCTAGTTGGTAATAAAAACTATTTTCAGAAAGAATAATGTTCATCAAATTACAAAAAAATCTAACACAGTAAAACCATTACAGTAGGTAGTAGTGTACAAAGTAGGATTAAGGGCTATTGATTGAGTTCAGTCGGACGTTCTCCGGGATCGTCGTAGTGTAAGATTCTAGCACAGTAAGAAATTAGATTGTTAGGCTGTAAGTTCAGTGATCGCAGAATTGCATCAAAGGTTTCTCTTGATAACTTTAATATCAAGCCTTAACGTTATAATCAATTAACGACAGTCTAAATTTAAAAAAATCGGTGCTGCGAGCATTGCTATCGAAATACACTACTCCAGAAACTGTATAATTTTTTGTGGTAAAGAGTATTTTTTGAAATTTTATTATTTTATTTAAGTTGTATATTGAACTATTATTTTATTAATATTATATATTAAAAATATTTCGTATTTTAATGTGATACACAAACATGAATAGGTACCTGGGTGATTACTTTGTACGTGTAAATTATAAAAAATAAATTTGAGTCTAAAGTATGTTTAAACGAGTGATTACTGATTAAACAAGGACGGACTGACTAAGGCGACCAACAAAACCATTAACAAGTGATAGACACTTAAACATTTTTGAATTGGCTGTAAATATATCAATGGTATTATGTACATAATATGTATTTATTTTTTTTTGTTATTTATACAAGATCAACGTTTAAAACGTTGTCAACGAGTTAATATTCAGTCTATGAGCACTAGTCTATAACCTTTACTCGTATACAGTAAAGTAAACACCTTATTATTTACCTGTATTTACGCGTCTAAAAGTGTTTTTCGTGCATTGTTACAAGTAGGTGTTTCGTGTAGATGATCGATTATAATCTCCTAAATCTCAGCCTGAGTCCAAAGTACTTAACGTCACTGGTTATGATTTACAAACATTAAGTAGCTACTTAACATCGTTACATGATCGTTTCTTGTTTGTATGGTGTGTGTAGTTATCGGCTAAAACGGCTAGACTTTATATAAACCAGACGATTTGCTCATATTTTGCAATAGTTAATTAAAATATATGTTATTTCACCTATTACAAATTATTCGAGCGATTATTGTACATTCAAATAAATCTTGATAGGGTTAGATAATAATATTATGTGGAACGATAGTATTCGAATTTAATAGATTGCTGAACTCACACGCTGGCGAGGCGTATTAATTAATTTGTTTAGTTTTTAAACAGGTGTAAGATGAAGGGTTCTTTAAAAAAAAAATATGAAATTTATACAATTAATAGTACCTAATACGTCACGTGGCCACAGCAAAATCTCAGTTAATCAACACGCATGCACGTTATCGCATTGCCGTGTTTGCCTACGACTGGCAAAACCGTCGAGTAGCAATCGAGTGCGCCTTTATAATTATTTTATTTATTCAATTATGATGATAATAAATAAATGAAATAACGAAAAGATTAAACGAGTGAAATTAATAATTATACAAAATAAATAACCGATAGTCTTTTCTACAGCCTGTCGTCGTTCGAACAAACACCTTTACTCTTTGACATTGTTCAATCGTAACCTCGAATCCGCTAACAGTTAAGTCAGGGGTAAAAATGCAACCCGGTAAGTTCAACAAAGTTTATACACTATTTAAAGTAATGAAAATCAAGTTAATTAAGCGTTAATTAGTCCGTAATACCTCCGAATGTGCAAACACAATACGAATAATTTCCTAATTAATAGAAATGTTTATCAAACTAAATTACAGTACACCTAGGCAATACATTTTTTTATAACTTCATTATTAAATCTTCGGTTAATTAATCACTGTTCATTTCGTAGATCACTTTTCTACCGCGATATCATCTAATACAGATTCAAATATTATATATACCTACAGACTAAAAAAAAAAATATTTAGTCAAAACATAATTTGATAAAGTATCATAAATGGTTTTTACCAACCCGGACTTTTTTCGGTCTTGCGATAAAAAAACAATTTTTTTATCGCTATATTTTTAAATATTAAAATATTTTATAATCATTATAATGTTTAAAATATGTTACTAGCTAATCAATTAGATTACTTATTGCGTAATAACATATTAGTTATTTTTCATTTGTTCATTGTTTAAATACACAGATTACAAGTTGATTTTTTAACCCTTTTTTTGTTTTTTAACTTTGTAGGTAGATACGCACTACGCTACAAATTAATGTATTTTATACAATTTTGTTATAATTATTTAAAAACGTTAATAGGATCGACATCCACACTAATCACTCGAGATCAATGATTTAGAACGTAGGTAACAATACTATGTTCCAATTATTTCTAATAACGTTACCTAAGGGTCATACTGAAAAACTTTGAACATATTACTGCAATTTAAAACACATAAAATCTATAGGCGTTTAGGTAAAATTGTAGCATTTGGATTTAAAAATATAAAAGTTAACAGTGGCGCAACTTGGGAGGAGGGAGGGAGGGGCGTAGCTCCTTGACTAAAATTTAGCCCCCTACCCCAAATAAAAATATTTCTTGTTGACTTGAATATAAGTTAAATTGTATTATTTTGTTTAAAATTTTAAAGTAATGATTAACGAACGTTATTAAAACTCAAAATGATATTTCAAGTAAAATTAATATAGATTATGTATTGTCTACTTTTATCACCTTGTAATTGACAACGATATAGTATTTTTTGTTATTCTCACGTTACAGGTAAAACAATTTCTATAAGTAATTCATTTTAAAAATGTGTGATGCTATGTATTGAGGGTGGACCCCCATCTTCATGGGTTAGTTTTAGTCCACAGTTTTGGCGAAGGCTGTACTCCCTCCCCTCCCCTAGAATTTTAATCCTAATAAATTAGCATAATTCCTATCATTAGTTATTGTAATATTAAAACTATCAACGACTTGGTTATCCCAGTAGATTTTAATCGTGTTTAACCACCCAAAATTGGCTGTTTGTGGTGAAATCTAGCTTTGTAAATGGCATGATTGTTCGAAGATAAAGCATCATTTTAAGCTTCAAAGTAGTTCATCGATTATCAATTTTTTACATATATTTATAATTAGTAGATACCAATCAAGTAGCTACAAATAAAATTGATTACATTAATTAATCACAATGAAAATAATGTCTTGTAGTATCACAATAATATACACCGTTCATATAGTACCTACCTAATTGATTTGTAAAAAAGATCAAACTAATATATTATTCAAAAGCGCGTGTAAAAAGATACCTACTATTTAAATACGAAATAATAAATGTTACTATTTAGTTGAAAAGTAGATCAATACTAGAAAAAAAGTAATTTTAAGAACGAGATTGAAATTATATCATTATTTTTATTTTACACACAAATCACAATAATAATTATTTGTAATTTTTAAACATAATTTTAAACAGTTAACTCGTGCAAATGCGTGTATTTTTCAAGTATTATTCTTACCTGTTGTAACTAAAACGTTAAAACTAAAAACCATTCTATTTTATTGGTGATATACCTAATAATTAAAATGTATTTCGAAATTAAAACAGTTTGATACTGCATTGGAGGTTTTTTATCATCCCCATATTTGAGATTACCACTACAAGTAGTCGCCTCTAAATCATGTACCATGTATAATTATTATTGAAATATTCAACTACGGTTTTCAGCTTAATTTATACATAATATATAGAGACGTCGTTTCCTATATCAGCAATGTAACTGATTTGAAGCCAAACAGTCGGTCATTGATCCAGATCTATAGTCACTTTAGCACTAGTATTGTCTGGTAGATAGATAACATATTATGTATATATTTACTGTCATTTTGCGCCTCAACGAAATAATCAAACGTCGTGTCTGTGTTACCTTATTATGGCTTTGACCTGTTTACAGTTCAATGATAGCTTGTTCTGTTATCACTAATGTATTTGCGTTATCAATCTTACCGCGTAAACTGTAATTAAAAATAATTTATTTACTACGTAGTAATTTTCAGTAGATAGTACCATTGATAATACTTATTTAATATTTATAATCAGTGGTAGTACCTACTTTAAGGAAGAAATTTAAAATTGTTGTATTCCTCTTAGTTATCTATTTTTATTCCGTTTCCAGTGTGGTTTCTTTTTACATTTTAGTTTTAAATAAAAAATAACAACTACCAAATCGCTTTACGATCAAAAGTTTTTTTGACATTTGACATAATAATTCAAAACTCGTGTCATTACAAATAATAATAATATCATCATGTCTATTTCCGTTCAAGAATCCAAAAGGAAATCTGTTTGCATTGTTGGTGGTGGACCAGCTGGTATAGCGGCTTTGAAAAAATTAACTGAAAAGGATTCAACCTTCGATTGCGTCCTGTTCGAGCAAATTGATAATGTTGGAGGGACATGGGTTTATACAGAAAATGTTGATGTTGACCAATACGGCTTGCCTGTTCATTCGAGTATGTACAAAAGTCTCAGGTGTGTAAGTTCAATAATTTAGATCAATATAAACATTATAGAGTAGAAGGGGCCGAGTGGGTAAGGCGTCAGTGTGCTTGGCGGTCACTGTCGCCAGTTTGACACTCAGTCACATGCGAGAAATTGTCTGGTAAAAAGAAACCGCCATCCTCCCTCTGGCGACGGACTGACCCGTTCGTGATGGTAAATTTGTCTAAAAACCATCTCATGATGGCAGCTTTAGTCCTTCAAGGCCCGTTTTAATTTACAATCTACATGATGATGATGTACACATTATAGTTACACTGACCTATACCTGTTATATTATTTTTATACAATTATGTATTTTATTATTAATAGGACAAACTTGCCAAAAGAAATAATGGAGCTTTCTGGTTTTGAACACAAAAATGTTGGTGACCAGTGCTACTTTCCAGCCAAGTACATGGAGAACTATGTCAACGATGTTGCGGATCATTTTAACTTAAGACAATATATAAAGGTAAAATACCATTATATCTTTATAATAAGCCAATAAAATAATATTGTTTGCACAAACAATATCTGTGATTTGTGAAAGAAAGTATATAAAATATTGTCTGAAAAAAAGAAAGAATTGGAGGGTTGAAAGGCAATATTACTTGTTTTTGTTTATCTAACGTGCAACATAGAAATAAAGACATATTTTTGTTAAAATTTCTATAAAATCTCTACTCATGCAACAAGGTATCTGAAAAATATTTAAACTTCTCATAAGAATAAACTTTATCAATTTTGTTCTTAAAATTAAGTAGAATTCAATAAAAAAAAATAAAAAAATTGTGAGTCACCTAGAATTTTTTGACTTATTACAAAAAAAACCAATAAACAGTAACAAAAGATTACTGTAGTAAGTGTTAAGAAAACGAAACAAGTTTTTGGCCGATGTCTATTTGTGATTTATCAATTAATTATTAGTACTTGCATAGATTTATTGTGGGATTATTTGTTTTCATTCTGATATTTTCTAGTTACATCATCACGTTGAAAAAATAAACCCTATTAATGATGGTCAGTGGGAAGTAACTGTTGTTGATTTACAGTCTAAAACTAAAGATACTAAAGTATATGACTCGGTAATTGTATGTGTTGGGTAGGTGTATATAAAATTTTCTAATTTTTGTGAACTTAAAGAAACATAATTATCTTAATCAATATTATACTTATGTTTTTAGTAACTACAGCAATCCCGTTTACCCCGACATCAAAGGTAGTGACGTATTTCAAGGTAAAATTTTGCACAGTCATAGCTATCGTGATGTGGAATCGTATAGAGACAACACTGTAGTTGTAGTTGGATGTGGTGCGTCTGGTTTGGACATATCCTATGGTGTATCGGTGGTTGCTAAAAAGGTAATATTTATTAACTTATTATAAGTAAATAATAATCTTGTTTTTTATTGTTGCAATATTATAAGTAGAATTAAACATTTTTTTTTAGGTATTTCTAAGCCATCATAATCCAAAGATGTACAAGTTAAACGTACCACCAAATTATTTTCATAAACCAGATATTCAAGAATTCACCAGTGATGGTATAATATTTAATGATGGCTCTTATGAACAAGTGGATGCTATAATATATTGTACTGGTAAGTAAGAAAAATAGCGTTATCTGAGTAGTTCAATTAAGTCCAATTACAACGTTAATTAGGATACAGTTATACATATCCCTTTTTAACCAATGAATGTAAAATTCGTGTCGAAGACAACATAATACGGACACTTTATAAACACATGTTTAACATTGAATATCCAACAATGGCATTCATTGGAGTACCACGGAATACCACTGGTTTTTACCTTTTTGATTTTCAAGTAATCCAATAAAATATAATATTTTGTATTAAATTATGTTTTAATGAATTTTAATTTATATTTTCTAATTTTTTAGTCAAAAATATATAAGAAATTTTTGGAAGGATCCCTTAAACTACCTAACAAAGAAGAAATGTATAATGATACTCAGAGAGAAGCTGATGCACGGCTTGCAAGTGGACAAAGACCAAAAGATTTTCATGCACTTGGGCGGACTAAATGGGCAATGGAATATTACACGTCCATGACAAACTTTGCCGGAGTAGAACATCCGCCCCCAGTATTGTTACAAATATACTTTGATGGACTCGAAAGACTAGGTCAAGATTTTCTAAACTTTAGGAACGACAAATATCAAATATTAGATAGAGAACATTATATGGTAAAATATTACAATAACGATACATCAATAACGAAAAAACAAGTTTTATACTCATTGTGAACATGTTGAACATAATAATATTATGCCTTATTAGTTTGTAGCTATTTCTAAATTAAGTATACTAAATTTATATGCTTTAGTTTAATTTTGTTTAGATATTTTTATTTTTTGTTATTATTGTTAAGTTTATATAAATGAATATATTTATGTTATTTTGTTGTTAATCATTAAGGTAATCTTACATTTGAAAATCACAATTGATTTAACCCTCAACTTGGTAAAGGCAAATTTAAAAATACTGAAAATTAAAAAAAACAAATTGAGTTAGTGATGGACATTTATGATAAAAAGGTTTATAACTTATAAGATACATAGCCAAGAGTCAAAAAGCTTTTACTGTCAAGTTCTTTTTTGTTAAAATATTGAATTTAAAAAACTATTCTAAAAAAAAAATTATTTAAACCCTCAACAAATTAAAAAACTAAAAACTCCCATAGAACTCATTCCATAAGATTATAATAACTTCTAAATAATTATAATCGTTTTGGCAAAAAAATTTTTTTTTTCTAGAACTACTTCAAAAACAGTTCTTAAAATATCTTGGAACACATCTTTAAAAGTTCTAGAAAATAATAGTTATATATTAACAGTTATTTATAAAAGTTGTATGTTAGAATTTTTTTTTTAAAAAATAATTATTTTTCTATCCCACATTTTTTAACGTTTAAAAATATGACATAATCATATTTTGGCCTGCAAGTTAATGTCTTACAAACATCTGTTATAAAATATTATATTTATATTTAAACAATATTTTAAGACATTTTATTTCCGACCAAAAAATAATTTAAATTTATGAACTGGGAAGCATTTTAGAATTTTCTCTGTTATATTAATTTATTTTAAATATTCATCAGTCTTATAGGTGAATTTTGTCAAAAATATAGAAATTATTTTTGAAACAGTTTGCTTTTTTGTAGAAACTAACTTTATTTTTTTGTTTATTATCTAGAGGTAAACATACCTTACAGTTCAATAAGATTAAAAGTAAATAGATATTGTTTAATTGGTACCACGATATAATGTATTAATTCATATTATAGATTATGGATTATACATTATAGATTTACCATAGGTACCTGATAATTTTACAGTAAAATTAAATTATTATTTAGCGATTTATCTACATTATGATTTAAAAATAAATTCTTAAAAAAATAAACGAAAATGTGACTCATAAATATTCATTCATTATAATAGAAAGGGTGATTGTTCGATAGCCACTTATATCCATAGCAACAAATGTTTGAAATGTTCATCATCCCATCCCTATCCAGTTGTTCAGTATGTACAGCCTACCCCACATGTTATTTAGCTCTATTATCATAATAACGAAATCGAATTGTAAATAGTTAATTTACAAAACCTAATCATAGATATTTTCAAAATGACCGAACAAGAAGAAAAAATGGATCCATCAAGTCTTAGGAAACTGGTGATATACTTTATTAAATATTTCTGTAATAACTATAGTGTAGAAAAATATATAATACATAAAAATAGAAAAAAATAATCAAATTAACAACGTTATACCTATTATACCTGTAAATTTTTAAGCAATAATTATAAACATTTATTTACAAAATAATGGGTAATCTATAAGTTGAACTACACGTGGTTGTTGTACATAATAACATGAAATGGATATAAATTTAATATTGTATAAGAAAACCTATATAACCGTTCCATTAGAAGGTATAAAAGTAATATTAATAAAAAAAAAAAGAAGAGTATTGTATGTCTGTGTAATCTTATAATTAGTACAGTAAAAACTAAAAAGTTAACATAGTGAGGTCGTTAATTAAAAAGTAATTGAAACCAGTAGAACGTTTCAATACAAAAATTTGTCAAGACAATAGTGAACTGTCGACAGAATCACATCAAAGAGCTATTTTCGAGAGTAATTTTATTAGGACCTATACTAGTTAGGTACTGCTGTTGAATAACCAACATGTAAGACAGCGTTGTTTTTAAATTATAGCCAAAAGGCTTTAAATGTTTTTTCGTAATATGAAAAAACCTATTGATTTTAGTATGATTATTAGTTTAGTTCAGTCAGTAGATGTTATCTAATTTTTAAGAAACTCTGAAACTTGTGCACAGGTGAACCGGGTTAAGGCTTGTACTCAACTAGCGTTTATGAAGGACTCGGATTGGACACGTCATGACGTGATACCGGCCATCGAGAAATTCGTCAGCACTAATGAAAATATGATTTGTTTGTTCTACGAAGACGACGTGCTTAAAGCCACTTTTTCTATACCCGACACTCAAACAGACAGCGTAATGTGGTTCATGAAGAATGCCGATGAGCCTGACGTACGTCTGGACAATTCGAATTTCTTGAAGTTGATATCTTTCGGAAAGTTAGACACGCAAGTGGAGAAAACAATGTTTCTTTTGTGGGACTCTTTTTATTCGCCGTTCATATTTTCATGGTCATCCAGTATCCTTTGAATTGGCAAACAACGATAGTCTTAGTTTATAGCTTACGCCTTGATTTAACAAAGCTTATGGTCCCGGAACTCTCTTTGCTCCAGAGCAAAGTCAAAATGAATTCACTAAGCTTAAATGAATACTGTACATGTTTAAACGCACCGGGTTCCTTGACTCTTTTTACTCCAGGTGAGAAAGATAGGTTTTTTGAACAATACAGAATCGTCATTCAAGAATTGTGCTCGTTAAGGTACAAATTTTTAGGCATGCCCAGTATTTACATTCCACCGTCAACAGTCTTAGATATAACGAAAAGTGTTAGCGAAGAAACTCTCAAAGTCCTCGAAAGTAAGTATCCATTGGTAAATAAATTATATCATTATTCAACTTATAAATTTTTACTTTTTTTGTCCATTGTTTACTGTAATACTTTACTAAAATTGCATTACTTTAACGTGTTGTTGCGTTAAATTATGCAACTAAACACTTTGGTTATGACAAATTAAGTAGGTAATAATAAACTAATAAATAGATACCACTGAAACGACACGTTTAAGAAACAGAAATTATTTGTAACAAAAATATTCTCGACTTATTACATGAATACTTTACAGACATTATGAACGTTTACATTACTGAGATTCAAATGTGTTTAATGGATTATGGGAGAGTGCCAACTCGATGCGAATATATGTTGGAACATATTATTGATGAATTAAATTTCTGGGAAAATAGAAGTGAGTAATTAAATAGGATTCCAAAGCCTCCATTTACTATTTTCAATCAGTCTATTAATTAATTTTATGTTAAGGAACTCACTTACGATTCATAACTACTTTATTAAATTACAAGAGCGTCGAAGAACTACTTAATCTATTGAAACACCATCAGTCTATACTAATCCAACCATTCAATAAAATAATTAATAAAATCGAGGTATAGCAATCTATTTTTTTTTAATGATAATGACTACTACATAAAGCCACGGGGGTTTAATTTACTATTAGGATGCAAGAAAAGAAGCCGAATTTAATATGAGATACTTGGAAATCTTAAGACAACCATGCATGGGAATCTACGACGCAAGTTCACTCAACGTCATATCAAATGTTCTACCAGATATTTTCATGAAATTTTTCTTTATACTTGAAGAATCTCCTTATTATAACAAATGGTAGTAAATAAAACGACCGAAGAATAAGCGAAAAATATATTTTTTTTAAAATGTCTTTTCCATAAACTAGGTCTGATATCAATCGTTTGTTTGAGTACTTGGGAAACCAAATCGTGTTCGTTTGTAGAAAATCAATTAAGTTGTCTGAACTGTTCGTCGGAAATACAGAATTAGTGCTAGATAAATTGCAGCTATCCATGGAATGTTGTGAAAATTATATAAAATTGTATACAGAGGTAATGCTATAATGTGGAATTGTGATTAGTTATTCTTTAGGAAAAATCTACGTATGAATTACGGAATTGTTAATTAGGCGATTAAAATTTACAATTCAAAGTCCGAAAATCATTGGTCGGTCGAAACCAAAGATGTACATTTGTTTTTGGAACGGTGCAAAGATGTTCAATACATATGCAAAGCTATGATTTTATTCAAGAGGTAAAGTGCAGCGTACGATGTAACTATAACATAATATTATAATATGTTTCTACGATTTGATTTTCAGATTAAACGGACGTGATCCGGTACCGAAACCAGAGTTTTCGTTTACAAGAGGATCAGAATTCGAATTGGTGATAGAATCGATAGAAACGCGTTTCGATAAAATGATCAACAATCTGGAAAGCGTGCAAAATGTAATATTCAACGTGAACTCGGCGGATTGGTTTGAACACGATTTGAAGTAGGCATTTTCCAAATTTATATACAAGGTACTTTTATGAGCTGTTGCTGCGGTGTTGTTTAGATTCAAAAACGAAGTAAACGAGCTGTGCGAAATCGTCGAGCATTTATTGAACGACGCGATAAGTGTCACGTGTAACGCCGAAGATGCTCTGAACGTTCTACAGAGTTTGCATTACTTTGCTGCATGGCCCAACCTGAAAGGTCACTTTCAAAAAAAAACCAACCAAGTGTACAGCATGTTAACCGACGACATTTCATCTGCAATGCAACACTACGCCGGTCACGAGTATCCGGTCTCGCTCCTTATGCCGCGATATTCGGGCGTTTGCATATCGTCTATGACCGAATTCAAAAGGATATCGACGCTGAAGAACGTAAATATTGTGGCGTTACCATACTAGCATACACTAACGACGCCAAAGGTTTTACTATTACGGACAAACCGTATTAATTGTAATATTATGTACTTTCTAGCTGGTCTCGGATCGTCCGTGGTTGATGGCCTGTCCAAACGACAAGAACTTCAATAAAATGTATAAACGGTACGCGACCAGTTACCGCGGAGTGATAACACACGTGTTGAGAATGTGGATCGAACAAATTCCAATGGACTACGATAAACACTCGGAAAGGAATCTGATAGTCGGAAATCAAAACGAACACTACTGGAATTTAACGACTAATCTTGACAGGTCGGTTCATTGGTTTGTCCAAAAACACGGCGATTCGTGTAAAACTCGATGATTCCCATTCGTTTTGTTACAATTTTTCAGTTTTGTACTCGACTCGGTGAACGAAATCGAACATTGGACATTACTTGGATTCGATATTCCGCTTTATCCAAAGAGTATAATAGCGAATGCGCCGAACATAAAACTATTGCACAGAAACGTTTCGAAGGTCGTCGACGATTATAACTATCTCATATCTGGTAATTTTCTACAACACTATAGCGTTGAGATTCCAGTGGGATTGCACTGACATACTCGATAGGATCCAAGCAAGGTTTATTTTATTTTCCTTTTTGACTTCAATAAAGTATCAGTTTTTTAGTGTGTGAAGTGGCCTGGGACACCACCTGCAGTAGATTTGGATCCCATATTTTCTCAATCCGTCATAAAATAGGATCCACGGGAGACTATATTCCCAAATTTAGACTCCTGATAATGTTCTCTTGGAGTCTTTGTGCTATTAGAGTAATTCTAATGAAAAATCATTGTCTTTAAAATTTCACGTCCACTCCAATAAAGGTCTATCCGAGCAAGAAATGCTTTTGTTCAGCGAACTTATTGAAACATGCAACAAAATAACACTGCCGATGGCTCGAAGTGTCACATGGACGCAACTCAACATCGAAAATCACCTGACCGGATCGTACGAATTACTTGAATCGGTGAAGTGACATTTTTATAAAGTCGACAATTAAAATAATACCGTTCATGTACTCGACCGTTTTAGGTGCAAAATTGTGTTGACGGTTACAAACACTGCAATGCCGGAATAGTTGAAATTTGTGAGTGTATATCGTTTACTTATCTGTTCAAAACCAAAGACATGCGAATACAGGAGCTTCGAGATTTCAAAAAATACACTGAAACGATTAAGTAATGATCTAATATAAGCTTAAAATGTCATATTGTTACTGTTTTTTTCTTCTTTTAAGGAACAACAATATAGCCACCATTTGGGGACAGTTTAATCAAATCATCAGATTCGTCACGGTGGTCTATGAGTTATTCGGAAATAATATTCATTGTGTAAGTAGAGTATTTTAGGCCGGGTTTTATTGACTGCTTACATTTATTCCCAAGTTTAACCGTGACTCTTTATAGATCCAACCGTATTTAACTCGTTATGTAGAAAAACTTGACGGTTTGATTTGCGAAGCATTAACTCTCAACATCAGACGGTCGTTGGAAAATATGTTAAAGTTGCTTGTTGGTGACGGTTCAGGTCCGGTGCCAGTCATTTTAGTTGACGCTACCTTGGAAAATAAACAAGTAATAAACGCCTATAATTTGCGATGAACATACGCGATACACTAACGATGCACCTTTGCCAGGTAAAATTCTCTTCGAGCTTAGCACAACTCTTGACTTTTTCTACGAACTTCACGCCAAATTTACTATTAACTGTACGGCCAATACCGAGGCTTTGTCATGTTTTCAAAGTATCTGAATTAGATTTGAAAACATACAGCGATATAATATCTCATGACCAGATATGCACTCAATTGCAGGAGAAAATTACTCTGGGTAAGTATATAGACATCACTATCGCATCGTTGCAATACGAATTGTACGCAATTTTTTTTTTCGCGTTCAACTCACTTTAGATCGACGATCTCTAATCATTTTGTGTTTAACCTTAGCGACAATTAAAGCTCTACAACAGTTTATGCGCCATATGAGCATATTTCGACAATACGAAGACATTTGGACTATAAACAAGCATACGTTTATAGACAAATATAAAAAACTCACTCCTTTGGCCGAACATTTCCATACAGACATGACTCAGTAATATTATAATGTAGTAATAAATAATTGTAATACATAAATTTGACATATTATTAACTTATCAACAAAGGTACGCGATTTATAAGCAATCCGTGGAAAATATCGCGCCAGTAGCTCAAGTTGCCTATTTTTTGATCCGGACAAATGCGTTAATCGAAGCAATTATTGAACATTGCGATATGTGGCGTTCTACTTTTTCGCAGTTACTGCTAGAGATGACGACTGATCTTATTGGACAATTTTATCAATACATACAAATTAACAGTGCTCAGTAAAAATAAATAATTATTTTTGACTAATCTTAGCTCAAAAACATTCATACCGACTGTTATATTTATTATTATTTTAGTGTAATGAAGTCGCCGGAAAACTTGTCTGAAATGATTTCTTTCATTGAAATCCAGAAGAAGATAGCACGAGAATATGATGATAAAGGAAACGAGTTCACGGTTATCTCAAATAACATAAATATTTTGGGTAAATAAAAATGTTGAAAAAAAATTGTTTACCTAAAGGCTTCAACTGTTGTCACTGTAACCATTATATTGTTTTACCTGCTAATCTTTATACTGTTTCATAACTTAGTAGATATAATCGCTCTTTTATGTTGTCTAGATTTGTCCAGATTTGCCAACCTCTTTCTCTATTTAATCATTTATTTTCCCCTCCATTATATTTAAATACATTTATTGGGCCGCATAATATGTCCAATAAACTTAATTCTTCTTGTTTTTATCATTTTAATAAAATTATATTGCATTTAAAGTAATTAACGATATTTACTCTGTTAAATTTTTAGATAATTATAACAGTCAGTTGTCAGAATCTATAAGGTCTGATTACGGAAAGTTATTTAAAACCTGGAAAATATATAAAAACACACTAGAAGATTCTGCAATTATGCTAAAAAGAACCCACAGTACCTTCAAAAATGCATTATTAAACCAGCAAAAGAATTTGAAAAACAAAGCAAAAGAAACGTTGCAAAACTTCTTAGAAACAGCGCCGATTTCTACAGACTGTAAATCAAATGGTAAATTTATTATATATTAAAATGTTTTTTTAAATCTAAAAATGTCAAATCCATGTTTTGCTGCTTTTGATTGCTATAACCATACAAACAATATTTTATACATTTAATAATAATAATAACTATAATAGTAATAGTGTAGAAGAAGATTTTACTTAAGCCAACTCGCTGTTAAAATATTAGTATCTAATTTTGTACTTAACTATGTTGATTATTTTTTAAAAGATGCATTACAATACATTGATCAATTAAAAACAACAGTTAAAATCATGAAAACCGAAGAAAAACAACTCAGCAATGATCTCGAACTTTTTGGTCTGAAATACATGCATTCGAAATCTTTGCAAAAGCTTGAAAAAGTAATATATTATAAAAGTATTATATTAATGAAATATAATTATTTTGTATCCTATGTTTTACTTTGCAATGTCTTTTTTGAAGGAAATATTACAATTAGATGAGGTTTGGACTATAGTAAACAAATGGGATTCAATATGGAAAAGTTACAAAGATATTACAATTACAAATTTACAAATTTCCGAAGTAAAGAATGCCATAGAACCATTATTTGAAAAACTTAATGGTTTATCCGAACAGTTAAATAACAAAAAACGGGAAGTTATAGAAACGACTCTAAACTTTCTTAATAAATTGAATCAAACTTTACCACTAATTGAAGCTATAAAAAATTCACCCATGAAAAATAGACATTGGAACGATGTACGGAAAATAATTGGCCAGTGAGTTATTATTTTTTAAACATATTCCTACATAAATCAATTTTTACAGTTTTAATGAAATCTTTTAGGAGTTTTGACGAGACACAAACCAAATTTACAATTGAAAAAATTATGGAACTTGGATTTTATTTGTTTTACGAGCAAATTATTGATGTATCCAAAAAATCAACGGTAGAACTGAACATCGAAAATGTATAGATTATTTTTTTTTTTTTTTAAGTATCCTATACAATTAAAACCAAAATTCTAAAATAAAATACTTTTAAAATTAAAGGTTCTAAATAATATTAAGAAAATATGGGGAAGTATAAATTTAAATGTCGAGCCTTATAAAGACAGAGGTATATACTATGTAAATATTAACGAAGAATTATCACAGATATTAGAAGATCATTTAGTGCAAATATCTGAAATCAAAGGATCCAAGTAAACTATATACAGTTGATATCATATATGCCCGTAACTAAAACATGTTGATTCTTAAAATAAAATTAACAACCTGCTTCTAATATTTAACTTAAGTTGAAAAAATATTAACTTAAAGTTCAGTAAGGAATATGCTTGCTAACTTGATTGTTTTACTAAAACACATTCGAAATGTTGACAATTAGTCTTACTTGTGAATTTTCCTATACAAATTTAAACTTTTAAAAGCAAACAAACTTGTAATTAACACCAATGAAAATTCAGACATCATCTGGTTGGAAACATAAATAGAAAGAAAATAATGTATTGCAATACCATAAGTATTTGCTTTTAACATTTTTATTCACTGGGATTTAACTGATTATGTTACTATTATATTAATAACTTAATTTTAGATTTATACCACTGTCTTATAATGAAGCGGATGGTTTGGAAAAAGAACTAGGTCTCGTTATGGAAACGTTGGAATTGACATTTTCTGTGCAACGACAATATCTTTATTTAGAAGTAAGTGCCCATACAAGACAAGACACTTGTTTTATTTGCAGTGTATCAATGTATAAAAAAACGTTTAGAACATATTTGTGGGCGACGATATCCGACAGAGAATGCCAATCGAATCAATCGATTATGACATTCTGACGGAAGAATGGAAAGAAATAACATCAAACATGTACAGAGTAAAAAATGCGTTCAACGCCTGTCACTCGAGATGTATTGTTTTTGTTATTTAACACTACAAACGTCCTTATAAAAACACTATATAATATATGATAACTTGGTTTTCAGCCCTGCTGAAACAGTTAAACACAATGAACTACCGTTTGGAGGTAATACAAAACTCATTGGAAGTCTACATGGACACGAAACGTCGCATATTTCCAAGATTTTATTTCATATCTAATCACGAGTTAATCGAGATATTGGGAAACTCCAAAACCCCGGAACTCGTTCAGCCACACTTGCACAAATGTTTTCAAAATATTCGCAGAGTCAACATATCGGTGAGTTATTTGTCAATATGGACAATTTTGAGCTTTATATGTTAATTAATCGCGATTCAGACAAACGACTTTCAAAAAAAAGAAGCACAAGGAATGTTTTCGAACGACGATGAGTACGTAGAATGGACTAAACCTGTAATATGCGAAGGACTCGCCGAGTTCTGGTTAAATTCTATCGGTAGGTGTATACAAAAGTAAACTTGACAGAAGTAGCAAAAAGCACAGTTAAGAAAAATAATATATGCGTGTCTTGTTAAAATCGTTTAACAACATTTGCAAAGCAACATTAATGCGCGTGTGTGTGTGTGTGTTAATGTTATTATTTTATTTAAAACATACGTCCAATTACATATTATTAACATTTTGTACACACAGTGTTCACACACAAATTACAAAAATTGAAAATTGTTTAAATTAATTCATTAAGCTCTAGTAAATTTTTACTGCAAAATTATAATGTTTTTGCACGCTTTAACATAAAATTTGAGATTAAAATAAAGTTAAACATGTTTTTGAACTTATTTGGCTAAATCAAGTAATTTATATTAACTTGTATATAAAAATGACTGTATTCTGAAAATCCGTGACACTATATAGAGATTGCAATGCGGGATTCTCTGAGACACGCTGCCAAGTACACAAAAACTTCGTTGAAAAAAAATTTTAAGAGTTACGAAAAATGGGTATCGAACTGGCCGGGACAACTTTGCATTGCAGCGTGCCAAGTATACCACACACGAATTTGTTTAATCAAATGCTGTGACCATTTCGATGTCGTTATATTTGTTCAAATTACTCTGTTCAGATTCAATGGACGAACGATTGCACAAGGGCCCTGTTAAAATCGAAACTTCTGGGACACAAACACCCTCTAAAGAAAATCTACAGCAAACACAAACATGCGTTGACCAAACTCTCACAATCCATTCGTCGTGACTTGACAAGAACGACGAGATTAAAATTAGTCTCGTTGGTCGCTGTCGAAATACACGCCAAGGATGTTATTGAACAGTTATACAAGTCAAGTGAGTGGATCGATACGATACCTACACTATTTTGTATAGCCATATTACTACCACAGCCAGTAGTATGTTTTTTGTTGTTCTAGTCAAAACTGAAAAGTGGAACTCATTAACTGTCTTTTATTTGCTGATCTCTCTCTACTCTTCGTTTTTCACTCACAATTAACGACTATTAGTAATTGTAAATTTGTAAATAATTTCTATCTAGAAAACCCCAATCGTTAAGCCTCGAGTGTAACTAGGTGAGTAAGAAGGGGGATTTAAAATTATCATTGCAAATAGCCGTTACAATTACAAAAAAAAATACCCCGAAGACTTGGATTTATCTTGTACATCAGTATATACACCTCTTTAGTTACTTAAAAAACTATCGACGACATAAATCAACAAACGAACTGTAACTTTTTATAAAAGAGCATAAGATAGATCAGGTGATTATCCGTACATTAACATAGTAATTATAGGCGTGCTATTATAATGCTTTAGCTGAGCGCTTCTTCAGTGCACAGAAACGTGCGAAGACACAATACAAGATTGTCCGTCACTAACAGTGGTTTAAGTTAGAAAACTTGGCTATCTACAACTCTACCTGAACAAATAAGTTGTTATGTTTTTCCAGATTGCACCGAAGTATCTGCGTTCGAGTGGACATCCCAGCTGAGGTTTTACTGGGACAGAAAAACCAACGACATCACGGTTAAGCAAACGCACACCAAGCACGCGTACGGTTACGAGTACTTGGGAAACTCAAAAAGGCTATTCATCACCCCGTTGACCGACAGATGTTTTGTCGCGTTGACCGCTGCCATGCGGTCGTGTCGAGGTGCCATAATCAGCGGCCCGACGAACACCGGGAAAACCGAGACCGTGAAGGATCTCGGGAAGAACTTGGCGCGCTGTGTTATCATGGTCGACTGTTCCGGCGGGCTGGACTATAAAACCGCCAGTCGCGTGCTTTGCGGTGGGAAAAATGATGTATAATATCACCGTCAGAGTCGGTTTTGAAATGTTTGTTTGTTTGTTTGTTTCGAGCAGGACTGGCGCAGCAAGGGGCTTGGGGTTGCTTCGAAGGCTTTTATCGCGTAGACGCGGAAGTGTTGTCGGTGGTCGCGCAACACGTTTCGTCTGTACTTTCGAACCTCGCGGCCGGCTCGAGCTCTATGGTTTTCGGAAAAACCCACGTTAAACTAGCGAAGACTTGTGCGGTATTCGGCACCGCCAGTTTGGGCAGTCAAAAGAGGCCGGACGTCGTGGCCGCCAGCTTGAAATCCGTTTTCCGCCCCGTCTCCGTGGTCGTGCCCGACAGCAGGGTCATCGTCGAAGCAACGTTGTTCGCCGAAGGTTTTAGGGACGCGAGGAATCTGGCCAATAAAATCGTCGCCTTGCATTCAACCTGCGAACGAGTACTCAGCAAACAGACCCGTTACGAATTCGGACTTCGGGCAACGGTGGAACTGCTCGAGTACGCCGGTCGACTCCGGCGACAACACGCCGACGTGGCCGACGACGAAGTAAGGCTTTGTACAGTTTTTGCTGGGAACCACTTAAAAAAAGCACCGCTTTTGTCGTTTGCAAGATTGTCGAGTTAGCCGTTCGCAACGGATTCCTACCGATGTTGGCCGACCGAGACGTGCCGTTGTTTATGGACATTAAAAACGATTTCTTTCCGGACACAACTTTGCCGGACTTGAAACGCGACGAGCTAGTTGACGCCGTTAAACGTTGCATGTTGGCCGGTCAGTTGCAACCGTCGAAATCGGCGGTCGCCAAAGTTGTACAATTACACGAGACCAAGCAACGCAGACGGTCGGTAATAGTTGTCGGGCAAACCGGAGCGGCCAAAAGTCGCACCTGGAAGACGTTGCAAAACGCGTTGACGTTATTGAACAGTCAAAAGGTCGATGGATTTGAACGGGTTACTGTAAGTGATTTTTATAACCATACAAAATTAGGCAAAAAAAAAAATTTGCCAAGGTACACATAAAAAAAAAAAACACATCGTTGGAAAATATCTTCTTTAGCATCGCACCGAAGCTAAAGGGATTTGGTACAATGTCAATTTATTTTTTAGTTTTATAATTCGTTTAGGATTACACGATAAACCCGAAAGCGCTTACTTTAGAAGAGTTGTATGGTAAGTATTGTACAAGTGCTCGTGTATGGAAAGATGGTGTTGTGTCGTCTGTATTGCGCAAAACTTGTTTGGGTAATTTTTTAAACTTAATTTACTAAACAGTTACATTTTAACGTTGAGACAGTTCAACTAAACGCACATTCAAAAGTTAAAAGACTACTAATACATACTGTAATGATTTAACTTTAAAGTAAAAAATATAAGGTAATGCCCATGCCCCATGGGACATGTATAATTGATACATTAAATAGATCAACCATATTTATTGCATTCTTTTCTTAGAAGCTTTGCAGATACAACTGCGAACTGTATAATCTTATTTTAAGCACTTATAATAGAAGGATAGTAATTGTAACATTTGAATGTGATTTGTGTGGATGAACACTAAGATGTATGGTAACTTTTGTCTGGTTATCAGAAGATGGACCACCAGAACAAAAATGGATAGTATTTGATGGCCCAATAGATGCAATATGGACCGAACATTTGAATTCTGTTATGGATAATAATAAACAATTGATATTAAGTAATGGCGAAAGAATGACAATTCCAAAACAAGTGCAAACTTTTTTACATATTCAATCAATTAACTTGTCAAACGTCTGTAAACTTAAAAGTCAAATTATATACACAGGTGTCATTTCTCTTTGAAGTCGAAGACCTAGAAGCGGCTTCTCCGACCATGATTTCCAGGTGTGGCGTAGTATATAATAATTATAAAGACTATGGTTGGCGCCTGTATGTCGATTCGTGGTTGGGTACATGCAAGTACAATTTCTATAAAAATCTGGTATGTCACTTTTTACAAATTACAGGTACACATACATACATTAGTGTCGATTAAATTAAAATTATATTCTATATTAGATAAAGAACAATTTCGACCATTACGTTGAAAACTTGATTAAATTCAAAAAAACAAATTGCATCGAAGCTTTACCACTACCAGAGCTAAGCTGTATTGTTTCTCTCTGTAAACTACTTGAATGTTGTACTTTTAACGATTTGGCCTTGCGAATTCCGGATGGCATCAATGACACTCAATATGAACTCCTCGTTAAAAAATGGTTTATTTTCAGGTTGTTATTAGACTCTGCTCATTTAGAATATTATTCGTGTTTTTTTTAACTAATTCGTGTCTTTAAAGCCTGCTGTGGTCTATCTGTGGCGCTGTAGATGACGATAGCCGTAAAAAAGTAGATACTTACTTCAGAGAGATAGAAGGAGTTTTCCCTATGAAAGATACCGTTTACCACTATTATGTAGACTCGGTTAGCTGTAAATTTAAACATTGGGAAGATAAAATTGCCGACAAAACGTCAAAATACAATTCTGAGTATTTTCAAAGCCTTATATTCATGATTTCTTACTACATAATTTTTCATTATTCTTATTTTTTTTTTTAGAATTCCATTTTATAAAATAATTGTTCCTACTATCGATACAGTTCGTTACAATCATTTAATGGAAATGTATTTGAGTGTGAAACGGCCCATTTTGTTAGTCGGCAACACTGGAACTGGCAAAACGTCGACAGTTCAATATAAAATGAATTGTTTGAGTAAAAATAATTACTCTTTTTTAACAATAAACATGTGCTCATTAACTCTAGCCCGTGACGTGCAAGTGGCGATAGAAGATAAGTTAGAAAAACGCACAAAAGAACTTTATCTTCCACAAGCTGGTATATGATTAATTAACTTCTGATAGGTTTTGTTTTAAACGTCATTTTAAACGTCTGATTCATTTTATCTGTGCTTTAGGAAAAACGCTGGTATCCTTTTTGGACGATATACACATGCCTGCTGTTGAACAATGCGGGGCAAAGCCTCCGTTGGAGTTGATTAGACAATGGATTGACTATGAGTTTTGGTACGATTCGAAAAACCAGCGCGTCAAGAACATTAGAAATATGTTATTGGTATGCGCGATGTGTCCCTCTGGCAATAAAATTAGCAATAGATTTATAAGTGGATTCAGTGTGGTTAACGTGACAAGTCCAGATGAAGCACAACTTTCCGTAATATTTGGAACGATATTGCGACAGCATTTACTTGATTTTGATGAATCCGTCGTAGCTTTAGGTACACGTTTGACAATGTATTCAAGGACTTCCTCGCCCTTTACGTCACACGAATACAATATATTATTATATTCTTACAGAAACGAGATTGACTTCAATGACATTGGATATTTACCATAGAGTTGTAAACAATATGCTTCCGACACCGACTAAAACGCATTATATATTCAATTTAAGGGATGTTTCCAAAGTAAAAAAAAAAAACATGTCAAAAACTTATGTTTTTAAACAATATAATATACCAAATATTTTGTATATTTTCCTCAAGGTACTCCAAGGTTTGTTGCGTAGCAATACACTTTACCAAAACGTCAAGGTATCCATGTTACGACTTTGGTGCCATGAAGTAATTCGAGTGTTCTCGGATAGACTGACCGATGACAAGTAAACAGTGAATGGGGCCAATACATTGAACTGGTCAAATAACGTGTTTATTTATTTTTCCCAATTAGCGACCGAAAGTGGTTCATGGATCTGATAAACGAACAACTTAAAAACAACTATGAACTGACTTACAGCAGTCTGTGGGCGTCCAAAACAAATATTATATTTTGTCACTTTTTGACCGGAAATGGTCTGTACAAAGAAATAGTCGACGAAAACTGTTTGATGGAATTTATCGAAAACAGTGCTGCAGAGTATAACTCGAATACTGACATTGTACCGATAAAAATTCAGCTCTTTGGTTATTTCATTGAGCACATTTGCCGTGTTGCCAGAGTGATATCCCAACCGAGAGGTCATAAGCTCCTCGTGGGTATAGGTATAACTGAAATGAGAACGCTAAACAATGTTTTCGTGAAACAATAACAACTAACATTATTAGTAATCGTTTACTGAATATATTTAGGAGGATCAGGCAGATCTTCTATTGCCAAACTAAGCACTTGGCTTTGTAAGTATGGTATCTTCACAATTGAGATATCAAAATCGTACGGCCTTTCCGAATTTAATGAAGACTTAAAACTACTTTACACTGAGGTGGCCGTTAACAATAAGGCTACATCGTTTATAATCAATGACAATCAAATAATCGACGAGTCGTTTTTAAAGGTCATAAACAATATTTTGTGTACAGGCGCATTCTCTAAACTATTCAAAAAAGACGATTTCGAAGAGGTATAATTTATCAAGCGAGCATAGAATCTATTTGTGTTGCAATAAATATAATGTGTGGTTAAACAAATAATTTAGATCATAAGTACGGTTACAGTAGACGACAAACAATCTGATTCGTTTTGTACAAACGAAGAAATTTGTTCATATTTAACAAATCGAATCAACAATAATCTGCACATGATTATATCTCTCAGTCCAGTTGGAAAATTATTCAGGTTTGTTATAAAATGGTCATTTAATTATTGTTTTCATTTATTGATTTGTATCAAAATCAAAACAGTATATTTAGAGTTTAAGCTTAATGACGAGGAGAAAAAATACCTGTTATGCTTGAGTAGAAAAATATAATTATTTTTTATGAATTGTGCAAGAGACTATGAGAATTGAAGACATCGTATGACGAGTAGAATAAAGCATGTGGTTATATAAGAGTATTAAAAGTAGAGACAAACCAAAAAACATGCGTAAGTAGGTAGTGTCCAACTTATATGTATAGGAAGAGGATTTAGCTGACATCCAAACAAGCGTGTGTTACCAAAAACGTTTTAAATCTGAATTGCATTCTGTTCTTAAATCTATGAAACCTAAATTTATACCAGAAATGGTATAACTAATGCGGAATTTTTTGACATGAGTTTAGGAACCGACTACGACTATTCCCAGGATTGATAAACTGTACTTCGATTGACTGGCTTTGGGATTGGCCTGACGAAGCACTACACGAAGTTGCATCGAAATCACTTGATAACATAGACCTGTCAACCAAAATCTATGGTTCATCAGAAGTAAATTATATAGAAATATTTTTTATTTTTATAACTTCTTTCTTGTTTTGTAAAAAAATGCTCGATGGTTAAAATATGTATGTATTCCAATTCTACATTTATGCACATTTTAAACGGAATTAATTTTAAACTCAATTACTTGTGCGAACACAAATAAAATTCTTACAATATTTTAAAAGATATTTAGAATTTGTTGAAAATGATTGAACTATTTACTCGAGCCTCTCGGGCGTTAATATAAAAAAAATAACTTGTTTTAAACGTTACTGTTTGAATCTTAATTTTTAATTTAATACTCATTAATTGATCTATGTTTGAATGATAATAATTTAAGCCTACGTCACTGTAACATTTTCAGAGTTTCGATGCCAGTCTTGATATTATGCCACAAGTAAGTATCATTAAAAAACAAATACAAGATCCTATAATTAGTGACGTTTTTAATTTGAACAGGATGACTTGAGGGAAAATATTGCAAAGGTTTTCGTAAACGTTCATCAATCTGCAATTCGATTTTCCAATCTCATGAAAACAGAAACGCACCGGCACAACTATATTGCAGCGATACATTATTTAGAGATGGTATCGCGGTATAACGAGTAAATGCATATATTTTTAAACATAGTAATTATTCTGGCGGGTTAATTAAGTGTAAATATATAATTTTATTATTAAATCAATGAACAATTTCCGATTTCAATAAAAGTCGTGAAAATGTAAACAGTCCATACAATAGACTGGAGAATTCAAATTTTTCAATGAAAATTGTTTTTAAAAAGCCTATTGGTTCTTGAAAAAATATATTATACATGTTTGCAATAATTCTAAATAATCGCGTGTGCCTTACTCAAGTCTTCGTTTTGTCTGATTTATGTAGACTTTTTCATGAAAAGCGTTTGGAAAATTACAACTTGACCAATAAATTGAGAAACAGTTTGCAAAAAATTGACGACACTAGTCAAATAGTGGTTGAAATGACAATGGAGTTAAAGAGAGTGAATGAACTAGCTGTGAACTATACGAAAGAATGCGAAGCGTTATCCTCTAAAATGTCCAGTCAGACTGTGGAGATGGACGCAAAGAAGAAGGCAGTAGACAATAGTAAAACGAAACTTATAGAAGAAGAGTTGAAATGCCAAGAGATTTACGACGTGGCAACAGCTGACTTGAAATCAGCTATGCCCGAATTAGAAGATGCCACTAACGTATGTATAATGTACTCATTTGTTTGGCTTTTAAGAACATCCGTTTCTGTGTTAAGCGTATTATTATGCATTTCTAATAAAATTTAGACTGTGCGTTCACTCAGCAAAAAGGATATCTCCGAAATTAAAAGCTTCACCGAGCCACCGGAAGGAGTGAAGTTGGTATTAGAAGCTGTAATGGCACTAAAGCAATCCGATTCCAGTTGGGCCGAAGTTAAACGACAACTGGACGACCCAAATTTTTTGAGACAGGTCTGGTAGTATTTTTTTTTACATTTAATTTATAATTATTAGAGTTTTGTTCTAAAGTCACTCTTGAAAATAGTTTCAACAAAATGCATCTTTACGACATGGTTTATTTAGTTAGGTGATTTCGACAAAGATCGTGTGCCAGATAACGTCCTCGAACAAATCAACAGCTACACGACAAGCGTTGAATTTAAACCGGAAAAAGTTGGCGCACAATCTGCGGTCGCTAAATCATTAGCCCTGTGGGTCATAGCTGTTGAAAAATATGCTAAAATACACAGGTTTGTGTAATGTAACGTTATTGCAACACAATGAACTTAATTCGTCGGCTTTATATTATTTTGGGTACAGTGCCGTTACACCAAAATTAGCAATAGCGGATGCGGCAATGACGTTTATTAAAGAAAAACGAATAGCTCTTGACGATACCGAGGAACGGCTTTTGGAAAAAATTAGTTCACTGGAACATTTGAAACGCGAATACAGCGAAAAGGTTGCAAGAAAAGAACTTCTTCTAAAAAAAGTATATAACCATTCATATTTTAAAAACTATTCGGCGCAACGTCACTAGTATCAAAAATAACAATAATTCACAAATAATATAAAATATAGGTGGACGATTTAAAAGAGAACATGGAAAGAGCCGTACAGTTGATCGACGGTTTGTCTAGTGAACGGATGAAATGGAACCAGACTGTAAAACTACTGAATGTCAGGCTAAATGATTTGACGGGAGATTGCATTCTAAGTTCTGCTTATCTATCATACATGGGGCCGTTTATGGCCAAGTACAGGAATCCTTTGATGTCCCATTGGTCTGAGTGTACCAAAACTATGGGAATTAATTGTAATCCTGATTATTCGGTTGTGGAATTTTTATCCAAACCCATCACTATCAAGTCGTGGAACGAACGTGGTTTGTTTGACGACGATCTTAGCGTAAATAACGCCATCGTCATAAACCAAAGCCGTCGGTATCCGTTGATAGTGGACCCACAATATAAAGCGTGGACCTGGATCAAAAACACTGAACAAGAAAACGGATTGAAAGTAGTTGATTTCAGAATGCCAAACCACATGACAATTTTGAAAACCGCGTTGATAGAAGGCACGCCGACGATAGTCAGAGTGTTTTCTGAAGATATCGATCCTGTCATAGTCTCGGTGTTGTCTAAGTCGATTTTAAAAATAGGTAATGTTTGTGTAGACTTAACTAGAATTAAAAAGAATACCGGTAATTCACGAGTATATAACTATTGATTTGCATCCTTTAGGAAACGAATGCTTTATGCAAATCGGCAAAACTCGTATCCCGTACAACGACCGTTTTAGAATGTACATAGTTGCCAAAATTAAGACTGTGTCTTTTACGCCAGAAATATTTTCTCGGGCTTCGGTAGTAGATTTTGCAATTCAAGAAGAAGGACTCGAACAACACTTACTAACTCGTTTGATTTCAATTGGAAACCCTGCGTTGGAAGAACGCAAACTAGAAACAGAGGTTAAAATTGAAACGGAAAACAAAAATTTAGCTGATTTGGAAAATGAGTTACTGGAGATTTTAAACAAAAGCGAGTGTCCATTGTTAGACAACGAAAATCTTTTCCACACAATCAAATCTTCAAAAATAGCGATAAAAACAATTAAGGATCAACTTGCCAACTTATTCGTAACTCGAACCGAAATTAATACAACTTTTCAAGTAAGATCATCGTTATAAGTAAATTTAATGTACTATGAAAAATTAACTGATTTTTCAATTACGATTTTGCTATTCAAAGCTTCGTAGTGGTCCAAGCAGGAAATATATTATCATTATGTTTATAAATAAACACAAATTGAAACCCTTAATAATATTTTATTATTACTATACATTAATAATATTACAAAAAGTACGCCTAATGGATTAATATTAGGTTTCACCAAAATGAACGAATTTTACCACACCAAAAATATATTCTTTCTATAACTAATGAAGCCAGTAACGCTCTTACACCTATATGTTAATGCATTTTTTCGTGATGTTCCCCTCAAACCAGTCATCGTGACGAAAACATCTTTAAAATTGTATCTATCTAAGTTATTTTGAACAAGAGCTATGGTTTTTTTAAAAATGTATTGTTATGCAATTTTATCAAACAAAAACATATTTTTGTCTTTTTAAAGTTAAAAACCAAAAAAAGAGGTCAGAAAAGTTCACGTTAACTCTCGGTTACAGAGATTTCAATAGGATAATATGTGTTATTATTTTCTTTCCGTTATTATTTCTTAGTGATCCGCCGAAGTTAATTAACAGCTGTCTGTTTGTCCTGCAGAGTTTTAGAGCTTTCGCGAAACGTGCCACGATATTGTTTTTCATTCTCAACGACCTCAGCGAAATAGAACCAATGTATCAATTTTCGTTAGATCATTATGTAAGATTATTCGAAAATTCAATCAAGGAAAGCAACGCTGTAGATCAGCTAGAAGAAAGAATTAATTTCTTAAATGAGTATCACATGTACGCAGTGTACAAGAACACGTGTCGTGTATTGTTTGAGAGCCATAAGTTGCTTTTTGCGTTTCAAATGTGTTTAAGAATATTGACGATAGAAAATAAAGTGAACCCGGCCGAACTAAGGTTTTTACTGACTTGTGAAGCCAATCGTAAAAGTGACAAACTAGACACCAATAAAAAACCAGGTATTAAAATTGAAGTAGCTTTAATTTTTCCAAAAGAATAAAACACTTATTAATTTTATGTTTGTTTTTTTTTTTTTAAAGATTGGTTGCCATTAAAGTGTTGGAAGGACGTATTAGCGTTAAAACACTTATCCGCGTTTAGAGGAATCGAAAAATCTTTTGAGTTATGTTCATCCAAATGGAATCAGTGGTACACATCATGTAACCCCGAAAATCTTGAACTAATAGGTACAATAAATCAAGAATTGTTATTGTTACACTATTTTAATATTACATTTACTAATCCTGAGTTGTATGAGGGGTATTGACATAGCAGACGGGCTACGAAATTAAACAATAATTCTTTTAAGTTAAGCTGAGAGAAGATTTAAAGTCAATTATAGCTATATTCTAAGATTAATGTCAAAAAAATTTAACAATACAGACATTTGTTGGGATCGTCAATTTTTAGTTAAATACTTCTTTTGTTCTCTCAAAACTATGCTATTCCTATAGTTCTCGGGTTGTAACTTGTGTTTGACAATATTAATCATAATTGAAATACTTTTTCTTTCTTTAAAAAAAGGTGATTGGAATGGTAAATGCAATTCCTTACAACGAATGTTGCTTATAAGATGTTTGCGACCTGATAGATTATCGTTTTCCATCAAACATTTTATCGTCGATAATCTTGGTCCACAATTCGTTGAGCCACCCACTATGGACTTAAAATGTATTATGGAAGAATCGAAAAACAACATTCCAGTGATGTTTTTATTATCGCCTGGCGATGACCCTATGCGAATTCTAGAAAATACCGCCAAAAATTACAAAATGAAAGATAAATTACACCGTTTGTCATTAGGAAGCGGCCAAGAAATGATTGTCAAAAAGTAACCTAACCAGTGTATAAAATAAAACATTGCGTATGACCTAGGCATTTAAAAAAAGGTTTTTTAATTTAGTGTGGTAAAAAATAGCCAAAGAGAAGGCCACTGGGTATTTCTCGCGAATTGCCATCACTTGCTGTCGTGGGCGCCTCTTATATATCAACTGATCGAATCAATGGAAGATGGCAAAGCTCATTCGGATTTTAAGCTATGGCTGAGTTCGTCCTCTCATCCGAATATTCCGATTTCAATTGTACAGAGTTGTTTAAAAATATCTATTGAAACAACGAAGGTATTTTTTTAAATTTTATAATTAAATTCTATTTGAACTGCAACGATTAATTCATTTTGAACGGTTTGTGTTATCCATTAAGAACTTAAAATCGAATTTGAGTCGTTTATACGAAAACATCAATGAAGATCAATGCGTTCGAAATTCACCGTCTGATAAAATGTACAAAAAGTTACTGTTTAACTTGTGCTTTTTTCATTCGATTATAGCACTAAGAGGAAAATATCGAAATCTCGGATGGAATGACAAATACACATTTAGCTTTGACGATTTTGCGGTTAGTCTGATACAAATGACGTTTAACGTTTCTTTAATGTATCCCGTTTGCATTAACAGCTTTCGGACACCATGTTGTACCATTATGCTGAACACGAACGACCGTCGTGGATGGCAATTCGATATTTTATTGGAGACATTTTTTACGGAGGTAACGTCACAAATTGCTGGGACAAAAGACTCTTGGACGCATATGTACATCAATATTTCGACGAAAACGCATTAACCATATTTAGGTAAGTACTACTTACTTGCTTTGTTAGCAAAGCTTGTACACTGTACTTACTTACTAAGTAGTAATGGCTCTGTACTGGTGTATCTTCTTAAGCTAGCTTGACATCGTTGTATTTTTTTAAGTACCTTCATGATTTTCAAATTATTTTATTAGGCTTTCGTCTACTGTTGAACTCCGTAATCCAGAAACCGAATCTTTTCAGTCGCACAGAGAGTGGATATCGTCTTTGCCTTCCCAAGACATTGCCCAATCGTTTGGGCAACATACAAACGCAGATGTAGCATACTCGACACACGAAAGCCTTGAGATTTGTCTGACCCTCGCACGTTTGCAAAAGCTGCAATGTACGACGGTCAAGCTAAATTTCGAAGAGGACCATTTATGTTCGTATTACATTGGACTCCTGCAAAACTTGCCCGAACCGATTAATACTGATAAAATAATCAAAACTAATAACGGTTTAAATATTAATCTACTGGATGCAGTTTTTGTGCAGGAGGTAAGTCGGTTGGGTTGTTTTAAAAGCAGTAAATCAAAAAACAACAATTTAAATGATTTACTTGACTTATTTTCAACTCTAAATCATCTGAATTCTGATCTTTCAAACAAAACAAGTTAGGTTTCAAAATTGGACTACTCTACGAGACGTGAGACTTTTTTTCCGTAAGGCATATTTTTGAAAAATAACTTCATTATTTTCGTCCTCGTGAATACAAAATCAAATAACAGACTAAAAATACACATTTCCTGTCCCCCTAACTACTAACCCCACCTTTACATTCAGCCATTGCCATTGCACCTCGGCCCTCGCGCTGATGTATTTACTTCCCAAAATACTGACTGGTGTAATTAGAAATCCTAATAGTTAGTATAGTAATTATGTCAATCTCTAATGATATGTGCGCGAGAAATTGTCATGTAATAATATATGTACCGAATGCTTTTAAGGTGTCGCTCTATAATACTTTGTTACAAGAAATCAAAGCCAAACTTATCGGTTTAGAAAAAGGAATCAAAGGACTGACCGTTATAACAAGCGATCAAGAAGAAATGTACAAATGTATTGCCGAAGGTAATGTACCGGAGCAATGGATTAAAGGTAAATTGTATACTTGTTAAACATGTAACTGTTTAACTAATTTATTATTAGTTTTATCAATTATTATATATTTATTTAAACTTATTTCTTAGCATACCCTTCAACGATGCATTTAGGTGCCTGGCTTAACAATTTAATAGAACGAGTAAAATATTTTCAAAAATGGGTAGATACCGTTCAATTGCCGATAGTGTCTTGGTTGGGAGCATTCATGTACCCAACTAGTTTTCTGACTAGTATTTTGCAAGTAAATAAAATATAAAACTAATTTAGAAGTTTATTGTTTAGATATTATATCGTACATCAGTCCGTTTTAAATTGGACTGGTAAATATAGTAATTGTTAACATGGCAATAAAAAAAAAATAAGTTAAAAGGATCATATAATTTTACTCCTTGTAAAACTCCTTACTAAATTTGTCTTAATTTTCAGATAGAGTCACGAAATTCTTCAGAGGAAATAAACTCGTTGAAATGGGAACTATGGTCTTTACCTCACCAAGACTTAAAAACACAACCAGTTGTAAGTTAATTTGGTTTTAATAATGTTGCATATTATTTTTTAGGTATAAGCCAACAAATATATTACCTAATCGATGTTGCAGAAAGGAATATATGTGCACAAATTATACTTGGAAGGTGCTGGTTGGGACGAAGAAAACATTTGCTTATGCGAACCAAGTTATTTACAGCTCGTAGCCGAATTGCCGTGTGTACATCTTGTGCCAGTTGTTAATAAGAAAAAAATTAACGGTACCTATTTCTTAACTACTTAAAATATATAATATATTAATCGGTTATCCTGTACATTGTTCGATAATAATTGTATTCGTTGTGTTTTACAGACATGACGTATGAATGTCCGGTGTATTACTGCCCCCTGAGGGCTATAATGAATGAAAAAACATCTTTTGTAATCGCATTACACTTGCCGAGTGGACAGAAACCGCAAGACTATTGGTTGAAACGAGCAACGGCCATTTTACTTAATTTAGACAAATAGTTTAACGAATAGGTTAGGTTAGAAATTTGTTTGATTTTATTTGTATGGTTTTAAAACGAACCATTATTGTTAAGACAAAACAGAGATAATGAGTGTCTTACGTTAGTTGGATCACCGCCTGTACATCATAACACGACGCATAAGTTATAAAATATAATTAAATATTATTAATTCTTTTTTTTTAAATGTTTATTTTAGCAGGAATCTAAAAAAGTATATTATTGTAAACGCCTGATTATGTAGATATAGGCAACCACTACAATTTCTTATCATCGACTGTCGCGTATTGGAATGTATATAGTATTATTTGCTGTATAAGGCGTGCCTCCTACTCGTTAAACTTAAGTAGGAGATCATCGGAAACAATCGTAATTGGTCGGCATCACTCGGAACAGAGTTAACAAAAAAGCATAACACACACGGCGTTGCCGCCAGTGTTGCCAAACTAGCCATTTTGTAGCTAGACCTAGCTTTTTTTTAATAGTGGTCTAGCTATAAAATTCTTTATCTAGCAGGTGCCGGTTTTCCTAGCATTTTTACCTAACCAATTTTATTGCTTTTTTTAGCTAAATTACTTTTTAAATGAAGTATTGGAAAATTAAAATTTTTTAATCAATATTGTCATTTATCACACTATTACTATTTAGGTTAGGTTAGGTTCCGGTACCGCTTGATCCCAGATGGGTGCCCACTGACCACCCGGGTTTTTAGCGGCAATTTTCAGAATTAAAAATTATCTCATACTTACAATACAATACATACTTATATACATATTATACCATTTATACCTAGGTCTACGACATATTAATTAAACAATAATATTTTTTTCTATTGTCTATGCATTATCTTATCGACTATCGAGCAAATAATAATAATTTACCTATGGCAAATTTGCAACTATGTGCCAAAAATAATGAAAACAATTATATTAAAATGTCTATGATTAAAAAAAACCTTATTCTATATAGCTATTACGAAAGAAAAAATAAAATAGCTTATTCTAGCTATTATGAGAGAAAGAATGAAATAGCTTTTTCTAGCATTTTGATCACCACAATTTACTTATACTTGTGATTTTATTTTGGCAACACTGGCTACCGCCAGTCTTTCCTTTGCCTCTCTCTATTCTAATCTTATCATATGACCTGCAATACTGTTCTTCTGTAGAAGGCCATATCCCTTTTATCTCTCACTCACTCTCACTCTCAATATTGTGCCAAATGAGATTCTATCAAACAACAAGTGTCTTTTGTTTTAAATTTGTTCTGTTTTTTTCTTAATTAACAGTTTAAAATAAACCATCAAAAGTATAAATACAAACTACAACACAACCAATAACTACAGAAAACTGCGATTAAAATAGGTAAGTGGACATTTTACTACTACATTAGTATAAATTAAAAGTGTCCATTTAAAAGAACATTCGAGAATATGGTGTAATAAAATAAATATATCACATTACCCTCGCGTAGCTCTACCACTGACAAAATTTAAAATAAATGTTATCCAATTAACAATTATTCTTTCGCCACTTCGGATTTATTTTATTGTAAAATAACATAAACTAAAACTTCTCTACTACAAAGTTGTAATTATTTTAATAGAAAATAAATGTCTTGTCCTTAATGAATCGCTCTGTACACACGTGTGACAGGATGTAATTTATGGCGTACGTCGACAATATTTTGTAGGTTCGGAAACTCGAGACTTTTGACCAGTTCTCGGTAAACGTTCAGTATGGTTAATATGATATGACCTGCAGACTGCAGTTTAGTGCAAACACTCGTCCTGTTAGGTTAACTGTAGCAACTAAGCTAAAAAAATATGTTGCTATTTGTGATCGAATCAACAGGTGTCCGACAAATTTTTTTTTTTATTATCATACAGCGTCATCAATTTAACGTAAGAGACACAATAATAATAGTAGTTTTATAGTATTTCTATTTTTTTAGATATTTTGTTTTGTTTTTTAAACGTTTTTAGAATTTTATATATTTTAGACTGTATGAAAGTATAAGACTATTTTTATATAGTCTGTTGTAACACAATGTATTGTCTATAAAATGATTAATATTTATTCCTATTGAATACCTATTGTATTAACTATCGGTTATTATTGTATGTTACAGATTAAAATTTTGTATATTACATAGCCAAAGAATATAATAAAGAAATGGAACAACTTTGTGAGGACTACCCCACTCTTTTCCCGTATGTCAAAATTATTGAAAAGAAGTGGTATAACAATGTGTTAAAAGACATTTTTAATAAAAACCCGGTGACGCTCTATTGGATCGACCGTATCTTGTCCGAGAGTAGTTACCAGGACGCCAAGGGACAGACGAGATTTTCTTCGGTCAATCCAGACACGGCGGAGGCCATTTGGTCATGGACTTACCGGACACCACTGCACAAGCTGAAAGTAGTGGTCATCGGACAGGACCCGTACGTGACCAATCACCCGAACGGATCGGTGGCCGACGGGCTGGCTTTCTCGACCAAATGGGGTTATTTGGCGCCCAGCCTGTCGTGCATATTCGACGCCGTGCACCAACAATGCGGGCCCCACGTTGACTTGACCTACACAAATTTGGACAACTGGGCCAGACAGGGCGTGCTACTCTTGGACACCATCATGACGAGCGGGACCAAGCCCAGGTCGCACAGGGACCTGGACTGGACCGTACTGACTGAAGCTATCATACAGTCGGTGTGCAGATACTCTCTAAAAGTGTTGAAACGGCCCCTGATATTTCTCCTGTGGGGATACTATGCCAAGTCCTTGTCTAGACACTCGTATGCAGACGACGGTTCGGTTATTAATCCGGTTATCAATAATAACCTCCATAAAGTGCTCCAATCACGACATCCGTCACCCGTGGCTGACCGTTATTTTCGAAATACTTTTGCTGAAGTCAATGACGACCACTTTTTAAAGGTCAATAGAATTTTGAACAGTTGGAATGTCCGAAAAATCGATTGGTCGACAAATGAAAAAAGTAATTATTTTAAGTATTAACGATTTTTTGGTACGCGGTGGAGACGTTTGACTGCGTACGATAATACTTTAGCAAATACTGAAATTGCTCCGTCTGTAGACAGAACAAAATGCCAACGCATGAATGCTGTTCTGTAAACAGGATTTTTACTCAATAAATATTTTATATTATTTTTATTATTATATTCTTCCTAAAATTGTAAGCACTCATTATTATTGTTAAAAAGAGAAAAATATGTTATAAGCATAATATTATGGCGTGCTTTATATTAACCAATCAAAAGTGTTTAAAGTAAATCGCATGTTGTTTGACGTCATAAGTAATATTGTTATTGTACAATATGGTATGTAAAACATTATTTGGTGTTATATAAAGGTTACCTGAGGTGTCTTAGTTACTTTATCACTTTTCACAAAATTTTCATGTAAGCTAACAGCTCTATCTGTGTACTAAAATTCTATTAGTCTTTAATAAATGATTACTTAATTATCTTAGTCTTAGTGAAATATTATTATATCATTATTACTATACAAACTGTGTTAATTCTTATTTTGTCTCGATCCACACAATCCGCAATACTTAACAAAAATGTTTTTAAAAAGAAAAACTACAAAGTTGTAATTATTTCAAGAAATAACGAGTGGTCTTATTCATAATGTATCGCCCTGTATACATTTTTTGATATCGTATTCGATTTATTATGTTATTAGTAATATACTCGTATATTATATTATGGATATGCAGTTGGATAGACCGTAGTCGAAACTATAATTACATCTCATTTTCGTTTTATTTCAGCTGCAATACAAAATATGATTTAATATAAGTGTACACAAAAAAAAAAAATTTATCTTACAATCGACAATTAATTGAGAGCTTTCAGTCATCGCTACTACCATAATATATAATTATATACACACAAGTGGACAATGTATGGGCTAGCTCACAGACAATTTATTCGAAACGCTAATAATTGCTTAATATATATGATATATGTATTATGTATCTTTAAACTCTTAAGTTTAACTACTGTCTGTTATGTGGATTATGGTTATTAAAGCTAATTGTTATTTTGGTTAAACGCTTATGAGAAGTGTGAGTTGTGAATGGTTCACAGGGTAATATAACTAATAACTCTAGAACGGCTACGATTAGGCAAATCTTGAAGTTAAAATAAAGATTTAAGAAAATTATTCAACTTTTGTTTTGGAAACAAAAGTTTGAAGTGTATATAAAAATAAAATGTTTTTTTCTAAACTAATTTTGCTCAGCATCTCTGACTAATGACATTTTAATGTACTGTGTACAACTTGAATTTCGACTGTTGGATAAAAGTAAATGAATAACGTTATTGGTATCTTATCTTGTAATTTAACGACATATTTAAATTTGATACACCTACAATTAATATTTTGTACTTGTAGTTAGTCAATTTGTTTATATAACTTACTCGGCTTAGCACTGCTGGTAGAGTATACTACTTATAAGTGTACAACTAAATTATTTGTACTCCCCTTGGCATTAGCGGTGATCAGATTGTACGAACATTCTAGCATTGAAATCCTGTGCGCCTGATGGAACTTAATTGACGCCGGATTCTTTTCCAATGAGATTATTGTTATTAATGGGAATATATATATATATATATATATATATATATATATATATATACATGCTACAGTTATTACTATTACTCTCCTTCTTATAATTTATGTATAGGTACAAATTACGACCACTCGCTTACCAATGAAGTCCGTTTGTGTATATCAGTATGACATTTATATCAAAAATAAATAAACACTGGCCAACTAGTCTTTTTAAACACGCGCGTAACACGAGATTTTGAATGTGTGCACAAACGAACAATTTTTATAAAACAAAAAAAAAAATACAACGAGGCTTACTCACATAGTAAGTACTTGTATTCAGACATTCAGTCACTGCAAAGGAGGTCTATTTGCACACAGCAGTTCCGTGACAGTGCCGTGATTTCTATTCACAATGGGTCAGTGTTCAATCCGTCATTGGGCGAATGAACCCGATTGACGATTGCTCTGATTTTGGACGAAGAAGAGGAAGAAAAAAATTGGTGAACAAACCGAAGTGGACGGACATAGTCTAACACAGAAGGGATGCATGTAAGGGATTGACGAATGAGACGGGACCGAGTTTAAACATCGTCGGTTAAGGCACTGTCGCGGTCACTGATATGCGTGAATCGACCTTAACCGTTTTGCTGTTTGTCGGTATAATATTTTAATAATATACTTTCCAGCCGGTCGTCTGCAAAGTCGCCGTGGAGTTGACCAACGAAGACATTTTTTCGAATTTCAAAGGACGTTTCCCATCGTCATCCCGGATCCGTCGAAACGACGTTACTCGAGTAATTATGTCAAAATAAAAAATACGGATAATATTGGGCCGAAAAGACAGGGCTTAAGTGGGAAAAAATTACAGAGGGGACTAATGTCTCCATATAGCTTAAAGCGTTCCATATATAATTTTATGTATAATGTCTAATGCATATAGTATATGTAATATAGAAACAGTGATTGTGTAACATACTCATCCCACTTTTATCCCTGAATAATGTTCAAATTTGTAATTTATTTCATATAAAATTTAAATCACAAATAATACAACATTTTTAAGAATAGCTCGTGTTTTATAAAAATTTAACATTTTGAAAGAGAATATTTTTTCTTATAATATTAAGTTGTAAGTAGTGGTTGTCTTTTAAGAAAACTAAAAAAATCACCCAGACAAAAAATATATACATCATAAAAATGTAGTGTTTTTAGTGCTTTAAATTGTATATCACTTATGGGCTAATCGAATACCTAACCTAACCTACCTATTTATCCCAGTATAGCCATTTACAATAACTAATAAAATCAATTATTTTTACACATATATTAGATAGTCCATAATTTGTATTAAATACATTTGATAAAAGTAAAGTAACAATCGATAAAAAAATAAAAACCAAGATTTAATCTCAACGGAATTCTGAATTATATTGACTAATGTTGGGTTATAATTGGAGCGGTACGGTGTACCTTACGAATAATTTGTTAAAGGGGACGCTTTTTAACCACCATTAGAGGTAGAGGGACTGAGTCCCCTTGCGCCCCCCCCCCCACTTTAACCCCTGCGAAAAGACCGATGTTACTTTCACTAGAAATTAAAGTATATATATATATATTAAGTTGGTCTTTAGTTTGTGTAATACTAAAAAAAAAAAAACTTTCAGAGCAAAACGGGGAGAAGAAGGAATTCAGATAATAATTATCATTTAAAAGTTATTTGCAGGGATCTTGCACAAAGTCAATAAAAAATTACTACCCTAATAAATATATATATATATATATATCCAATAATACACCTACAATGTAATACATAATGGGTCTAATGTATTATGTAGTAGTACATTTTGTAACGGTTTAATCTATGATTTAGGTTGTTCAAAACTCATCGATCGTGAATATCTTTCCTTGTTCAAAATACGGAGTGACTCCCGAACGCGTTCAGGTAACATTAACATAGACACACAGAACCTCTTTTTTTTTTTTATTATAATAATAGAACATTTTAAAAAATAGTCTGAATATGTATTGAAATTTAACTTTTAAGCCTTGTGGCGTTAAAGCAAAAGGGGATAAGTTAAAATTTGATTTACATATTTTCTGAATAGGTATGTAACACGTTAATTGCTTTTACAATAATTGGTGCATCTAAAATTATTTTGACCTTAGCAAATTGTATGTTGTCATATTATGATATTATTTTTCTGTAAAAATATGTCTATAGTGCTTTTATACAGATATGACGCCCCTGGACGTCTTGGGTCGTGACCTTATTTTTTTTTTTCATTCAGACCGTATAACCATCGCTGTGTTTATGCATAATATTTGCCTGTCCTCTAAATGGGACGAAACAAAGACGAATTGCTCTCTTGTTGTTTCCAAAGACTTGTGTTGTTATAAAGCTCTCACTAAACCTCAACACGGTAATTATGTATTAGTATTTTAATCGAAGTAAGTGCCTTTCTGTCAATGGAAGCACTACTTTTATACAGGATGTCTCGTGTATAATATTGGCCAGTTTTACATAGAAATAATATGTCAAATTTTTGATTAGTAAAACCAAAATGAAGTTGTTTTAGTAGTTAATGGGTCGACTTTTTTGAGCTGTTTTTTTATAAAAGCCTCTAATTGTTATAGTAATATTATGGGAAGTGTCCTATTACTTATGGCGTAAACCTAATATGCCTATGTCATTAACCTTGATGGTTCCATCAGAAAACTTATGAGTAACATGATATTATATGGAAATGTATGCAGGTAAATCTGCTCTCCATTTTTGGCATGTATAGTCATTTTTTTAAATCGGTTTCGACCAAACACCTAGTTTTTGTGATATTTTTAACGTGTTTTGAACGTGTCTGACTTAATAGGGAGGAACGCAAAGGGCTATTTATTAAGGGGCAAAATATAGGCAACATCTGTCGAAAATTGATCTGAAGGTAAACAAATATTAAGTTTTTCTAATTAAAAAAAACTTTCCTGAGTTATGGCATTTCTATTGGTGTTTATTTTAATGAGAAGCTTAATACTTTTTATAAAGGCCAAATTTCGATTTTTGTATAAAAACTATGAAAAAAAAAAATAAAAACACAAACACGTATTATGCAATTCGAATAAGAAATCAGTATTATGTAAATTAACAAATTTCTAACCATTTTGAATTATAACAACAGTTTAGAACGTCTAAAGTTATACCTATATTATACGGTAGTCATAAACATAATATCTGGCAAAATAACACCTATATAAGCTTAACGGTCGGTCCCAATAGCAAAATGTGTAACTATGTTTAATTATTGTTACTATTGTAATGTTTGTTTTCATTGTATTACATACTTTTGTTTATGTGATTCTTATTATGTATAGGAAATATCAAGTAGCTGGTAGTTTCATTTCCAAAAGCCAAATTCGTGGCAGCTTAAAAGGCTAGCAATGATATCCACAGGAACGTCAGCCATTCTGGAAGGAAGTAGTGTGCTAACAGTCCCCTCACAGGTTGGCGATAACTTGGAAAAAAGGAACGTCAGCCACCATTAAAAACACAAATACAAATGGACAAGTAACCAGTATAGTATAATGAAATATAAATGATTAAAAATAACCTGTATAAAAGACCCTACATTGCTTGATTTGGTAAGAACCTGTTTTCTGAAAACTTAAAATATGGACCCTTATTAAAAATACATGTTTATAAATTCATTTAAACTAGTATAAGTTATTGTTCATTGTTGCCCTCCTCCCGTCCATACCAAGTCAAGTACTGCGTGGAATAGGTCTGTGTACGACGATGCCATTATGTTCTCGCCTCACCAACAAAAATTAAAACTGAAACATTTTCAATCAATTACACTCATAGCTTATTCAGTTTAAAAATGCACACATAGTCTTAAAAATACCTACACACGCCTCAACTATACATACTAACTGTTACTACTGACTATAACTTACTCGTTATCAGTAGGCACAACACAATCGGGGTGTACTATTGGACAAACAAGTCAATGCGTTTTGAATTTGACATTAAATATTAATGAAAGATTTTCACTATTTAATTTTAATTTCGTACAAAAAAAATATTTCCAAATTTCATGCCAGAGTATAAGGGTTATAGCTCGCTGGAGTCCCGGGCACACTACCTGACGTGAGCCGAAAGGATCTCACGTCATGAGAACCTAACGGTGGGAACCAGAAAATCCGGACAAAATGTTTGTATTTCACAAACATTTTGCGTTGAGTATTTACTCAACTTTAGCTTAACGGCTACCGGATTTTTTAATTCCCGTCGCTGTGGTTCTACCGAAAAGACAAAACCATTTTGTCTTTTTGAGTTTGCTCGGCTGACTTCCGTGTTATAGAACCAAACTATGCTGGAACGCAGGCTCGTGACTGAGGGATTGAATCCAGGCCGAGATTGTAGAAATCTTTCTGAGGTAGGAAACGAGCCTGCATGGAATTTGGAGTATTCCGTATGAACAAGTTGTCTCTGTTGACAAACGCGCCGTTTGTAAATTTTTTTAGAACTTTTTATTTTTTTTGGATAACTACACAATTTTATACGATTCACAAAATAAAAAAAAATTTTATTTCATCCTTTAATTATTAAAAACCTCAGTTTACAAATGCACATATAAACCTAAAAATACCTACACACGCCTCAACTATACATACTATTACTACTTACTATAATTTACTCGTTATCAGTAGGCACAACACCTTATCCACCACGGAAGACACTTATTTCCAATGGCTTTTTATTGGTAAATGCATTTTGAAACAGTATCGTACATGGAGATACCACGTCAAAAAAAACGAGCCAAATACTCTACCTCATGGGTGGTTTGGAAACGAGTATGAATACCCTGGTTATAGAAATATTTTATTATTATGTTTTGTTTAAGCTGATTACATATCTTGAAGTTATTAATTTTCAAGAAGACCGCATTTTGAAAGATAATTGAAATTGTGTAGTAATTATTGGAAAATATAATGAACTATATCATCAACAATTTATATTTCCATGCCAATTATATTATCCAACGACTATAATAAGAATCGGTTAGAGAAATAATCAAATAATGTATATTATGTCAGTAGAACGTTTAAAAAACATTTATTTTAGCTTGGATTCGGAAAAGACAAGATAAAGGTGCCATTTTTTTAAAGTGTTATTTATAATATAATATTATTATTTAATATTAATAATTTAGAGGCACGTTTTAATAATGTTTAAACCCACTATAATTTTTGGACTCGTTTTTTTTAAGTTCAACCAGCCTTATTTTTATTTTTATAATATTACTTGTTTATAAACTAAGCCTAAACTTGTAAAGATGATAAACTTATGTAATCAATGTCCGGATCGAGCCGTAGGTACATGAATCAATTCAATTAACGTATTGTATCTTTGGAAGAGCTGTAGTCTGCCTCATATCTAACATATTAAAAACTTAAATACAATTTAAAAAAAAAAACTCTAAATATATATACATAGATATTTTTTACTGATATTTTGCCTTGTAACTAAAAATCAATTAGTATTTTACAAACTACTCATTTTTCGTCGGTCCAACCTATTTTTGTTAATATCCTAAAGCGTAGAACTCACTTGTGATACGTTGTTGATATCGCTTATCTTACGGCTGTTTGTTTTGGACAATGTTTTTCTTCTTGCGACTAATAAATTCCAAAAAACTTATGTACACAAAACACATGCATACGCCGTCCCAAACGTTCATGACAGTCAAGTTTACCACGTCTGACAGGGTTCGACGGAAGCTGTTGCATGTCGTGAAGTAGTTTAATATGGACGTTACACCTATGGAAATCACACTCTTGACACGTTATATTTAATAAAAATGTAGATTATACAACTTCATATTTCTATTCATGCAGATAAACACTAAATTAGTATACTTTATTTAGTAGCTTGGGTCTAAAAGAGCTTATGTATTTTTTTTTTTTTTAGCTCTCCTATTATACCAAAAAATAAAATTAATTTTATTTCCCATCTTACTTTTAGATAATAAATTGTTGATATCTTCAATTCCAATGTACTGATCCCCTTCTAGAGATTGTACATTTGATTCTTCAACATTACTACCATATTCATGAAACATATCTTCAGAATTATTGTCTTCTTCTTGAAGTACAATGGATTCGGGTTACTGTAAAAATAAAATAATATTATAATATAAATCATATACATCATATCATATGATTATAAAAACACTTTTAAATGGTAAATAACATTTCTTAATAAACTCAAAAATTTCAGGATGTATAATAATTAAATCAAGCTTAATTAATCTTAATAAACATCATAGCAGCTTGGTTTTGGTACTAAATGAAAGCAAATTAAATTACGCAAATAACTGTAAAAGAATTTGTGTTAACCATTTAATTATTTGCCTTTATATTATTTGATATTTAACAAATATGTTACGTATTATGAATTAAATCATTTTTGGCCAAGAAATTTGGAAAAAAATAGTTATAAAGCCATAGCATATTTTGAGGTAGAGCCAAACTGTTTTCTCTACTTCTTATATAATTATTTATACATAACTAAATTCATATAATTGACTTCTTCTAAAAAAAAATCACATTTCTACATTTATCATTTTAATAATATATTAATAGTTAAAGGTATAATAACACTATTTAGTTATAATTATAATTTTTAATATTTTTAATTGAAAATTGAATTCAAGATTCATAATAGATGATTATTTTTGCAAGTGGAATAATCGTTTTCAATAAAAAGTAAACTTAGTAGGTGATTATGAAATGTTTTCCATATTTAAAATGTCACAAACCAGAATATGTATATTTTGCTGTCACACCATGTTCTTTTATCATGCCGGGGATATGATGGCGGTTAAGTTGACAAGTAAAATGCGCGCGAATCTGTACAATGTCTTTGTATTCAGTGATAAAAAATTAACACGGGGAAGATACTTATCACACAAAAACGCGGCGGCCATCTTCTTAAGGCTACACTACTAAAATGTTACATCTATACAGTAGTAAATAGGTCTTTACAAAATGGTCGTCACTTTTTCGTTTACATTAAAAGTGACCCTTCTGCTTTTATCTATTCTGTGGTAAATGGATATTATTATTTATTAACCTTGGTAAACACTAAACACTTGGTCTTATCAACTTACCTGCAGCCGCCGCTCTCACAGCCGCAGCTTGATATTATAAATTGATGTGTATGGTCGTTAGTTGATGTATTTTGTTGTTTGACAGTTGACTTATGAAGATTTTTTAACGACAGTAAAGTCCATGTCTATATGGGTAAAAGTGTAATTTCACAGGTTTCATATAATTTGTGGTAAAACAAAAAAATATTTGCCACTTGCTATTTTTAATTTGTACAGTTCAATAATTGTACGAAGAACAGAGAAATGTTGTGAGAATCTCTGTTTAAATTTCTGTCGCAGACTTGAAATATTACATTTATTTCATCTAGTACATTTAAAATGGTAAATTATTATAATATTAGTAGTGTTGGAAAATAAAAATAATTTGTATTATCTTATATAATATGATGAAATATTTGTTCCTTTAAAGACGCGTAGTTAAGGTTTAAATTAATTAGAAAAAGATTTTAAATTAACGTGAACACAAAATGCATTAGCTTTGTTTTGATTTAGGTCATTGATAACTATTCACAATTTTATATTTTAAAATTAAGTTAATCCACGTCATTATTGGTATTTATTTCTATAATGTATTTGAATCGGTCATTTAAAAAACAACATAGGTCACAATTTTGACAGAATGATATTATGGTGGATTTCGATTCTCTGAAGATAGATATGTGTTTATGTTCACTAATCACAAATATTCTTCCACCAAAGATCTTAGCTATGTACCATTTTGGGTCGCCACTGAAGTTTTTACACGGTTTTCAAAAATTTGGTTTTCATGGCTTATGCTTTCTTTCAAATGATTGGTTCATTTGTGTTATTTAAGTACAATTATATGTTTGAAAATCTAGTTAGTTTTAATTATACTATTAATGTGTACACACTCATTGGTCAATAAATGTTATTGCAAACGTTTTATTATTTATATTATGTTTAGAAAATAGATTATAAAACTAAGATCTATGTTTTAAAAAGTAATATTATTTAAAATTGTATTAACAATATTGCACTTAATCATAGACATTTAAAAGATTGAGAATATCTCAATATTAAGTTATAAAATCAACAAAATATTATTAGTTTATTTTAATTAAATTTAATAAATTAATTGGTACTTGTGTCTATAAATTATAGTCTACACATTATACTGCTACGTAGATTTTATTAATTTGTCTGTTTTTGTTTTAGATTTTGTAATGGTTAATATCATTAAGATTTGGCCTTACGCTTCAGCTGTATTAAGTTTGTACATTATAAAGTAATTATACATTTTTAATATACAAATAAGTTATTACGACAGATACATTTTTTACTTTTCTTATTTCGATGTTAATTAAACTTTGTATTTATTATAATGTTACATTCCAATTTTTATGGCAGCTAGATAGTAAAGTTAAACGACCTATGAATTGTCTAAGCTGGCGTAGGGTAGTTTGTCAGTATAATTTACTTACCATTTATATGTTCTACCTATTTTTTCCTATTTATATTTTCATGACATAAATATTCAAGGCATTAATTTTTGTGGAAAATAAAAAATTTGCTTTAATTTTTTAAAAGTAAATGAAAAACAAAAATTAAAATCTACTTTTAAGTCTAAGTAAACTATAAAAGTTAACTAACTTGAAACCATCGAATAGTTATTTAATCAAACAGATATTTGTAATCAAAAATATTTATTTTAAATTGTAAATTAATATAATTTACAAATATTTTACCTTATTCTGTTATATTTTACACATAAAAATCTGTTTTTTGATTTAAATAAAATATATTTAAAATAAGATATAATTATTATTAATTTAAAATGTTTTAGACGTTATTTTGCTGGAGGAGTCTGTCAACACGAACCCGATTTAACCGATAAGGTTATAATTGTAACAGGTGGTACAACTGGTATTGGAAAAGAGGTAGCAACAGTTTTAGCTGAAAGAGGTAAATATGATATTAATGTATTTTAATATAGATATTTCATAAAATTTTGCAATTCTATAAATAATAAAAAATAGTATAATATCTGTAAGTATAGAATAATCTGTTTAATAGTGCTAAATTGAAAAATTAACATTTTTAGTTAACATCTTCAAATCCAATTTTATTTAAATTGTATATTTCTTAATAAAAATAAGTTTTAGCTAGTATGACAAAAACTTGATGTATTGCTTTTCATTTAGCAAATTAAACTACTAGTTTTCGTAAGAAACGTCTATGTATTGATATGCTTTTATAATTTTAGGGGCAAGAGTTATCATTTGTAGCCGTGACGAAGTCAGAGGTACTAAAGTTTGCTTTGAAATACTGAAGTCAACTGGTAACCCAAATATATATTTCTTTTATTTGGATCTGAACTCATTCAGCAGCATTCGGGAGTTTTCAAGAGCCATACACGAACGTAAGCTTATTTAAAAATTAAATCGGATAAAATATATATATATATATATATTCCTTTCAACTATTGATATAAGTACCGTAAAAGAAATGAAATTTGAAAAAAAGCAGTGTGTTTAAGCTAGACTGTGTTTTAATTTTTAGGCTTTGATGCAATATATGCATTAGTGAACAACGCTGGAGTTTTTTACCATCCATTTGTTCAGACTGAAGATGATTTCGATGTGACGTTTCAGACAAATTATTTAGGCAAGATTATATTTTGTATTAATTTACTTTCTTAAGTATCTAGTCAGTTGTTTTACAACTAACTATTACTGAAATACGTTTATTCGACATTTGGTAATGAAATACGCAATTTAATAATTTGTTAGTAGTAAGTAGTTGGCAAATATTTTCATTAAGTGACAGAAGTTGCGAATAATTTACTCAAAATGTTGACTAGTCGATTGTAAAAGTTATAAAATTCTAGAAAACTAAAAAAAAATATTCAATACCTTTTTCGCTCCTCATAAAAGCCAAAAAAAAAAACTATAACTAATTTTAGGAAACCGTATACAAACTTAAACCAAGTATAATATTATTGCAACCTTTATTTTTATAATTAGAAATTGTGTATCAACATACATAATATTAAAAGTACAACAATAAATAATAATATCAATAATGACGATAAAATGCAATGTATAAACCATTTTGGTGTAGAATCTGATAACAAATTGAGAATAGATTCCTATTTATATTGGTCAAATAAATTATTCACAAAAAAATTCTACGTGTCTTAATTCAAACTTTTCAACCTCCAATATCATTAATAAATTAATTACATAAATACATACACTAATTTGTTAATTAACAAATCATTAATCTTTATAGAACTGCATTCCTAAAACAATAAGTATAAATATAAAAATTGATCTTTCAAATGTAACGGTACACTTTTTTTATACAGGTCCGTTCCTTCTAACACATTTGTTGCTGAACATAATCCGCGCTTCTGGTAATGGTCGAATCGTAAATGTTAGTTCCGAGGCACACCGTTATCTGCACATACTGAACCCGAGATATGTGGATGAACTCGGAACTCGATCGAATAACCGCTTTATAGCGTATGCTGCTTCAAAAGCCTGCTTACAACTGTTTACCTACAAACTTTCACAAACATTGAGTGGTAAGTCAGAATTGTGAGCGTTTTGTTGGACTATTAATGTCGGGACACTTTTTACAGACTGCGGAGTGACCGCAAACGATGCAAATCCGGGAAATGTGAAAACACAAATACTTGATGGTTACTTCAAGACTTACCACCCATTACTATTGAAACTCCAGACTCCGTTGCGTTGGCTATTGATAAAAACGCCCAGGCAAGGTGCCCAAACAATTTTGCATCTACTTCTTTCTCCGGATTTACAAGACACTACTGGAAAATATTTCACGTAAGTATAGAAATGATTTTAAAATTATATTTCAGCATCTTAGTAATTATTTTATTTTACTGTGAGTGGCATGTTTTGTGTTTCTAGTGATTGTAAAGAGTGCGATCCATGTCCATTGACTCGTAACCAGGAGCTCGCTGAACAATTATGGATACGCAGTTTAGCGTGGATAAACAAAAAATGAACAAACTACCTATCGTCGATGTCCGCTACGAGCAAACCGTCCGCGAATCCACCACAGTTTTTAGACCTCTGATCGGAGATAAATGTTCAATTTCCATTACGAGTTTGGAATTATTGTCGGATCATAAATCTGCGTTATTGACTGAAGAAAACGTCGAAGTGCACTTGGAAATAGGTGAAGCCGATTGTACGTTGGACAGAGGAGTAGAAGCGGTTTTATTGTCCATGTGCACGGGACAGAAGAAAAAGGTTGTTTTAGGAAACGGTAAGAACGCTTGTGTTTCTTGTGTTATCGAATTGTTGACAATAACTAAAGGCAAGGATCCGAGCAGAAGTACGGATAACGACAAAATAGTAGAAGCAGAACGTCATAAGAAGATTGGCAATGATTTATTCAAACAGAAACGTCCCGTTGATGCATTCCACCGTTTCAACAAAGCTATAAGATTGGTGATATTTTTACACGATCCACAGGCTTTGTTGAAAGATTGGAATTTGCTGTACACAAGTTTATGTAACAATATGGCAGCTTGTCAATTGGAGTTTAATAATTACGAGTACGCCAAACAGCTGTTGGACAAAGTATTAGCCACGGACAAAGAAAACATTAAGGCACTGATGCGCAGGTGTCGAGCATCAGCCGAGTTAAAAATGTACGATAGAACTTTGGCAGATGCCAAGTCGGTGTTAGCAGTCGAGCCCAACAATGCTGTTGGTAAAAAATATGAAGAAATTGCAGTCGAAGCATTGAGATTGCAAAATGTTAACTACAAAAATATGGTGAAAAAAATGTTTATTTAACGTGTTTAGTTGTATGTCAAACTATAAAAACATTCCTGTAAAAAAAAAAAAACCCCTATTTTAAGCATTTAAAGATATTAACATAATTTTTCCCCTGCCAATATTTTATTAAATGTTCAGTATTTCTGTTGTTTATTTATTATTTTAGTGTGATAAAAAAAAAAAAAAAAATGATTCTTATTGAAGTGTGGCTAAGTTGTGTACAAAAAATATTTTAATAAAAGATGATAAAATAGAACATGTTTATTTTATATTATAGCTAATGATTAATAATACAACAATCTAAACTTATTCCCAACTACTTATTAAATGATTATGATTGTACAATTGAAAATAATAGAACTTACAATTATCACGTTACATAATCATTTTAGATAAAATAAGTAATTTTACACAGGTACAATAATGTATTTTTTTTTTTTTGATTATGCCTATACTATACTAAAAATTAAAACAACCCTTCTTATATTTATACATAATACCTAAAATAATAATAAAAATATGGTAGTAAAAAAATAAACCATTTATTTTTAGGAAATAACTGGCCCCCGGGGCTCGTTTAGCAATTTTCATGGCACTTTATACAATTAATGTTTTGTATTAATATATAGATGGCCGACATAATCATGGTTGTAAAACTTAATAATTAACAAGGTTAGTTGCTTATTAATAAACCGTCGCCAAGTATAACAAGTTATTTAGATATAAAGTACTTTAATAAATTAAAAAACGTATTATCTAGATGAGAATGGAGGGGAGTAAAAGAATACAAATAAATTAGTAACAAAATGATTGACGTTTAGTTTAACGACCAACAACCTATGAACCATTTACTTACTAAAATAAACATTAAAACCAAAGTATTGTATCGGCTTTAACACACACACACATAATTGTTTGGGTTTTTGGGTATATTGAGCAATAATAATGACTACATTTTTTTTTGTTTACACAACACGTTATACAAATCTACGTACATTTCAATTATACAATAATATATTGATAACACCTTCAACTTGTTAGTATCTAGTGAAAAGGGGAAAAAAATACTAGTTTGTAATAATGTAAAAAAAAAAAAAAATTATTATTTCGTAATCGAGTATAATTAAAAGAAACCAAAAACTTTTTATTCATTAGATTTGCGAAAGTTTGCAACCGATTTAATTGCTTAAAATGTTCAAACATTTTAAAATCTATATCATCGATGCTAGACGAGAAATTAATTAAAAGTAAAATAAAATTAAAAACATACAAATTCAACATGATAAATGGTATTAATACGAATTAACATTTAAATTTTATGCGTATCATAAAAGTTCTATATAAATATAACAATAAAGAGAAAAAAATGCGATCACAGAAATTACACATGAATTATCCCCGCCATGTTTGAATGATACGAGACGATCAATCGACGAGCGGAGTCATGAAAAATACTTGTATCATGACAGTTTTGACCTGCCGTTTACGTCACGCGAGTTCATTCTTTGCATTGTTGGCCTCCGTACAAACGGCGTTGACGGATTCGATGCTATCGACGTCGAGTTCTTCACTGCCATGTTCATTGCCTGATTAGTCGCTTGTTCGATTCCTTTTTTCAGGAAAATCTCGTAACTCGGTTTCATAAACTATAAACAAACCAAGAGCTATTAACAATGTTATTTAATTTAATTATATATATATATATATATATATTTATATTTACATTATCCCAAGTAACATTGGCTACTTCGTCGATAGCTTCGCCAACTTCTCTGTGTTCACCACAGTATCTAATGTAAGCCCATAACACAAGAATAAGCAAGGCAAGGCCCATAATCAGGTTGACACAGCTGGCGACTGAATTTACTCCAAAGAAGTTGAATAGTCCAGATATGAAGTAACAGGCAACAGCAATTGCAAAGAACACAGCCGGTGTACGAGCGGATTTAAATATATTTTTGCTTTCGTTGTGAGACTTGAACTGCATGTATTCTTCATCAATATCCTGATTAAATATATTTTTGAATGAGAATCACGAGATAAATAAATGCAAAAATAATTAGAGCTTTACAGTTTCCAATTTAGTTTTGTACGATTCTGAAAACTCATCACCGCCCATTTTTCTTTTAATCATAAACTGTTCCAAAGCCATATCTTTGCTTTTGAAGTGTTCTTCATCGAGAGAATTGGTATTCATGTAAGGTTTGTTGCCACCACACACATTTTCCATCATTTGATGATACATTTCTCGAGCTGATGCTACTGCGGATAAGTTGTTTGCTTCTGCAGTAGCCTAAGATAAAAAAAAAAACAAATAAAATACAGTAATTAAACTATAAAAACGTCATAACTGTTTTAAATGACGCCGATACTCACAACAAGCATGGATTTGGGTTCGGGTAATTCATCTCCAGTAAACAGATTAATATACGACTTGAAATACTGTACTAACTCTTTGGCTTTTACTTTCTGTCCACTAATCTCTTTGAGTATCAAGTTATTAGGTTTCAATAACATGGGCACGAGTGTCTGTAGGTTTAATTTAAACTCATTTTCAATTTCTAAAAACAAAATATATTTCTTTAAACATTTTTAATCAAGTTGTATACTTAAGGCGGCACCCGATACATACATTGTTTGCTCAGTAACATGCTTTACGCAAAAAGCGACAACATTTAGTAGAGTTATTAATTTTTGCTAATTAAAATTTTTTGTTCAAATAGGAAGGCTTTCTACAGTTAAATTTCAAAAAATGGCACATAGTTTTGTAACTTTGCAATTTTCGGCATCGGGGGCCTTTTAAATAGAAATTTCAATTTACCAGAAAGTCTGCCATCAAACTTAGGATGTGTCGCCACTTTTAATCCAGGATGAGGCATCAAGTAACAACTTATTTCTGAAAAACACGACTTAATGTGTTTTCTAAGAGATTGAAGTTCGGGATGTTGTTTATCAGATATTAGCAATCTTCTTTGCAACATCTTTTGTCCACCCTCTGATCCATAATCGGCTTCGTATGGGAAACTCCAGTCCCTAACCAGGAACTGTAACTTTTGGAATGGTTTCTTACCAGTGTCTTCGAGTGCCAAACGTCCATACTCCGTGAATAGCTGAAATGGATCAAATAAATGTTTAGATAATTTATACATATTATTATAATAATAACTGGGGAAATGTAATACGATATTTTACATTACTTGTAAATGTTGTAGATCGTCTTCCTGTATATTCTGTGACAAGTTATAAATTTGTATAGAACTGAGCATAGTACTCAAAGCAAACACCGTTGCGCAATCTTTAACCGTGCTTTCACTATCAAATGTACCTTGGGTATCAAGTAGTATAATAGCTACTTTTTCTCCATTGTCTAAAGTGGCTTTGAATACCTCTGACCACATCAGGATTCCAGTAGTATCTCTTTCAGATCCACCACGCCATGAAAATCCTTGTAATGGTAGATCGTCCGAGCCCATCCAATGACTGTCTTCCTTAATAAGATTCGCGTGATACTGGAAATATTTTAGTTTGATAATATTGTATTAACATTCATTATAGTTTATTATTTAAAATGCCATACTGTTGCTTTCATGTATCTCAGGAAAAAGTCGAGTAGAAATGATTTTCCTTTACGGAAAGCACCAGCCACAGAAACAACTACAACGTTTCTATCTTTGATATCGTCTTTGAGAAGAATTTTTTCAAGTGCTTCTTCGTCTAATACAAACTGATGATTTTCTTCGGCCAACACAATAGGCACAGGTTGACCGATTTCGATTAAATCGTTATTTTCTTCCATTTTTCTAAATTAAAAAACAACAAAAATATAATTTATTAATTTAGCTTGACATACCTACATTTTTTTATATTAAGTCTTAACTAAATATTTGTTATTCAACACCAAATAGTGTTAACCATAATTAATGTAATAAGTTACATAATGTGAAATTTTATCCGACTGTTATTACATTGGCTGAAATTAGCTACCACATTTTTATGAATCCCCTAAATATTCTTTGCCATCATATTTAACAAAAAATAAAACCGACTCAAATTTCTTATTACATCATTGTATTTAACATTTAAAATACCTACAATAAGATTGTTATAAAATATATCAGTGTTATTGTTGTGTGAAAAATTGTATAATGACTTTAACTTGTTTAATTATACAGTAGATATATGCAACCTTGAAATAGAACGAGGTCACCAAGAAGCAAGATATGTTGATTTCTTTTTAACAATGCAAGTCCTACAATGATAGTAATAAGAAGATTTACACTTAAGTGTATTGACTTGCCTCAACATTAGTGAAAATAATAAACATAAAATGTCTTGACAGTTTTAAAGCTTGCAAATTATAAATAATTTTTAAAAGAAATGCATTTAGTACTTACACGAAAAAATGTGGAAATGTAAGGTTTGCGTAGTGTATTGACTAATACTTAACTTGAAACGGGAAAACAAGTACATATAAAAATTACTCATTAATTGAAAGAACTCTACCTATAGCCCCCTTTAATGTGGTTGGACAGCTAGTTGACCTGGAAATGATTATTTCCCAAACTACAATTGGCTACCAGTCTGATGGTATTTTAAGATTTCAGAAATACATGCCAAAATATAAATAAACGAGCAAGATATATGATAACATTGAAATATACATATTTAGCATGTAAAATCAAATTTATATAATCTACATTTTATTTCACACTCAGCCAATGAATATAGAAAAATAAGAGACCACCAATTGTTTTGAATAAAAAAAAAATAGTTTTAACTTTAATGTGTATATGCAATGTACATTATACATGTATTGCATGTACGTATGCGTGTAATGTCAAAGTTTAAGATTTGCATACTGTAGATAGAAATACACGACAAAAAGAAATGTCATGTTCGGGAATGACAAACATTATGGGAAAAAACGAGTGACAAACTTATTGTGTAACAACTTACAACAAAAAAACCTACTTTTTAAAACATTATTTTAATAGTAACATATTTTAGTTGGTCGCTTTGAATTATTAAATATTTATGAAAAAAGTATCACACGCTTTTATTTGAACAATAGTACTATTCTAGTTACTACAAAAAAAAAAAAAAAAATTATAACACTCAAATTTACTGCGTATAAACACAACAAAGAAGTATTTAAAAATGTTAACATCATATTTTGCCTTATAGGTTACCATATGTTTTTTAAATTGTACTTTAAAAGCTGATACTTTAAAGTAAGTAGATCAAAGTTTAAGTTTAGAATACAATTTCAAACTTATCCTATGTAAATCTACTAAACAAAGTTTTTAATAAACTCATTAAGGTAAAATGTATAATTACATAACATAGCATATGGATTCAGCCATCATTATTATTATTATTATTATGTTGTGTCTGACCAGTTTCATTTGTAAGTATTTACTAAAATTTATAAACATAACATTTTTTCAAAATATTTAGGAAGTAATTTTGAATTAATTTGTAGGTCTTTCATATAAAATTTCATTATTTATTTACTTGTCCTTAATACATTTTGTTGATATTTATAGTGATTTATGATATAATTTTGTATAGTATTCCGTGTCATGATATAAATTCCTCAATCATTGGCAGAACACTTTAAAACAGTTTTAACAGAACACATTTTTAAAACAGTTTAAAAATAACATGAAAGTTACAGTCATTAAATACTATTAATAAACACATTAATTCATGTACAATAAGTGTCAACTTTTGAAAATTACAACTAATATACTAAAAACTAAATGGCATATGTTTTGTTCACGTTTAACAATAGGTATAATATTAGACTATTAATGAATAATGTCTAATAGCTTGTGAAGGGGTTTTGGTATAAGTGGTCCAGATTAAAGCTGGCCGTTAAACCAACACTAACCGGACAAGTTTGTGAATCGAAGAAGTGGGTAATTCGCAAACTAGACAGTTGCTTCTATCGGTGGTAGACAGTTTTGGTGGTCGAGAGTGGAATCGCAGACCGTACGTAACTTTACGACTGCCTTAACTCGCTTGGCTACGTTGATCTCTAGTCGATCGGTAGGTTGTCGACAAGACTCGATTAATCAAATAATATACATACTTAAAAATTATTAAGACCCACAGACGGATGAGATTTTTTGTGTCATAACATTGTATCAATCAAACGGAACACTTACCAAATATTTAAGTGAACGTTCAAAATGTGGCACAAGTCAACGGCTACCAATACGTCTGATAACGATGGGTATAAATATTTAATCGAATTTATAGTTTACGGTTGAAAACAAACGATTTGCTCGTACGCACATGCACAATTAAGTGTGATTTCTCGAAGAAAAAACCGAATTCCGGCAAGAAATGTACACAGCTCACTGGAAATACACCGTCATTGGACACCCACTTGTTTCAACGTAAGTACAAAATGTTTGGATACGGAGAAAATATAATACACCATCAACGACATCAACGCAAAAAACTCGTTTATCGCGATGACGGCCAGTGATGCGCTTGCGCCCTGCTCGATTGCGCGCTGGGCAAAAACAACATGATAATAGGTAGGTATAATTATTATTCACCGCGACGTCACGTCCCCGGAAGTTGCCGTTGTCGCGTTCGCGTTAAGTTGGTACCACTAGCGCCATCTGTTCGCGAAACGACGTTTGTACGAATTTTTCAAAACCGTCGCTCGTTCATAAGTATATAGTTTTGTGCTTCTAGCAATATATTTCTTCAGCTTCTTCTTCAAAAAAAGTTAATTTATACAAGTACGAGTATATATTTGAATAAAATACTGTAATACTGTAGTGTATTTTGTTTTGTTCGTTTTATTTATCATTTATCAAGGTATTATTTTTTATTATTATTTCCATGAAAGATTCATGACAAGTAGTAACTTGTTTTTATTATTTTTGTTTAGAAGTACACAGTGTACGATGTATTTTAAACGTTCTATTATATATAATTGTGTTAATTAGTAATAAGTTCTTTCATGTTTAAAAATGAAATACTCAACTTCTATATTCTTATACCTAGATTTATCGAAAATTTGATATTAATATAAATTTAAACAGATAAACAGTGTAACTAAATATAAAAATTAAGTAATTATTTAAAATCCAATCTTTACACTTAAGACTGATATTAAGTGTATAACTTTAATTCGATTTGTATGGAATATAAATTAGATATATTTTTGGAATCACCAAAAAAAGTCTTCCTATTCGCCTATAATGTTAAGAGTAATTTATAACTATAAGTTTAATTTAAATATTTAAACATATGAACAATATGTATATGGAAACTATAATATTGCCAATCAATTCCTAGACTTTGCTCATCACTATTCATAATCGGTATAATAATTAAATTAATTGATTTCAAACTATTGTTGCGTTTTCGTCAAAACAATATACCTACTATTTTAAGTAGAATATTACTTTGTGTAGAATATAATATTAGGTATTATAATTATCATGTCCGATGTCGGCTATACGAAAACCGCGGAATTATATAATTTTAATAATATGATTTATTAAAAAATGACCCAAATAAACGGCTAGAATAGAGATGGTAATCTTTGTTCATCTGAAGACAACCGGATAACTGTGTCCACTCGTTCTTCGTTCATCCATTAGTTGAATGAACCATATACAGCAGCTGAGGAAGACCTGTTTTGCAAGGTCATTCCTTATCGGTTACCAATTTATACTTTCTTCGGTATTCTTGGCGAATTACAGTTAATTTTCCAATGTACTTTGATTGTTGTTCTTGGATATACATGTATACTTTGGAATTCAATGGAAAGTAGCTATCGAATTATTCAACCATTGTCCACTTCAGTCTTCAACCGCTCATACACACCTACACAACCACCTAACCTAACCTAAACTGGAGAAAAACATAGCTAAAGTTCTGTGACTTGATATCGCAAGTAGGTAAGTAAGTAAGTAAGTAAGTACTTGTCGCCAGCTCACAGCTGTACTGACATACTGTTAACGAACATAATACCTATTGCCGTTGACCTTATTGTGGCGGCAGACCGGACGAACCGGACACGACATTTCTAGTCAGCCGTTTGGGTAATTAAACTAAAATGACTTTGCTAAGTAGGTAGGAATAATTATGCAGGTATCTAAGTATAATAATTTATTTTTATGAAAGAAAAATACAGTTATTTGGGTTGTATTAAACGATGATAAATTATTGTTTTTTTAATTTAAATGTGTTAAAAATAATACTATTTTGAACACGATATTATTGTATACCTACTAAGTGATTTAGATACCTCACGTATATATATATATATATATATAGTTTGTACAAGTATCATACCTGTATAAAGATCGATTTACACACAAGAAAAAAGTGCAAAACACAAAAAAATATAATTACACGCCTAATTCAATTTAAGTGTTTTGAGATATACCCACATTACCCTAGGAATGAATCATTTTGCTTAAAACGCCAGTAAAGTATATAAATAACACAAAAATCAATTTCATGGCTTCGGTGTGTAGCTGAGAAGGTATTGTCTTTAGAAAAATGTTATCTATTTTCTTGTCTGGACCCACGATATCTTCTAAACCGCTGAACTGATTTCTTCTTGTAGCATCTCTATAGATCATAAATCGTACCTAAATAAAGGTACTTTATGGTCATTAAATTGAAAAATTCACCCTTTCCCTTCAAAATCGAGAAAAACTCCCAAAAATGTACATATTTTCAATTACGGCGCTCTATGACGTTTTCAAAAATAGCCGAATTGGTTTCAAATTCGTATGGTATATTCTTAAGATCAAGTACTAACTCGATTTGACCAGGTTAGATTTAATATAAACATTTGACAGATAAATCCATAATAAAACGTAGGTATTGCCATTTTATGTGTAATATTAATACTATAGCACATACTACAGCGTATATGGCACATTATGATGTATAATGTGATGATATTATGATTAGCATAATACTATGATGTTATATAACATACAATTTTAGAACAACAACATTTTTTTGCGCAGAATACTATTTTAATTAATAATATAACTTTTTATTACAAACAGTAATAATTGTTGTACGTGAGTAAATATTGTAGAAAACTCGGATAGGAAATGTCTGCGCTTTAAAAAGTTTTCATTTTAACAAACTGTGACTTCTTTTTACAATCTTTTTTATACGAATGCGGAATGTGATTCGGTTTAGTCGACTCTGATCGGAAATTGTTATTTCACGTTCAATTTTCCCCTTTTCTACAGTAAGATCAACAAATCCTACAAGAGCACACACACACATCAACTATTGTTGTCTGTCGTGTCACGCAAATCTTGGTTGACAAAGGATAAAACAGTTCTTTCGACGTTTTCCCTTTTCTCAGATATTTATTTTTAACTATTCTCCTACCTGGTACGCACTTTGATTGAACCATATTATTTTTAATGAGTCGATGAAGTTTTAAAACAAAATGTTTAGACATTAAGTAGAACACGCATTACAGTGTCAAGGATAAAATAATTTTGGAATTAATTGATAGATTGCCTTATATTTTGTGTCATCTAATCAAAACTGCTGTACAACAGCTAGTGTTTTATTTATAATAATATGTATTCATAGTCTATATTGTTTTCAACATTTGTAGTAGGTGCTTAATAACCATGATAGTTTTAACTAAGAATAATAATAAGTACAAAGATACGCCAGCTTGGTTGTTTGTAATTTTAATTATGTAAAATAAACTCAGCATTTGTTTAGTGAGAATGGAAAATTTTAAATAACTAATAAGTATTAGTATTACAAACTTATCAATTTTCAAACCGCAATGGTATGCATACCATCATCTATGTGATACAATAAAATTATTAATAATCAACCGTTTGCATAATTATTTTAATTTCAAATAACAATATATTATGAAATAATAAAATAATCATCGATCGAATGTTTAAATAGTTAGGTATTATGTAATTTGTTAAATATTTGTAAAATACATGCAAATAGCACATGCCATCTGGGCACAAAAGTCACTGGGGTTATTGTGTTCACTATCAATTACCTACTTTAGCGATCAACATGACCTTAATCTACCACTATTATAAAGCAAACGCGAGTTTTTGTTGTATTACACATTGTATTCAAGTTTAAGTATTCAACAACATGAAAAAACTAAAAAATAATAATAATAACAAATTTAATAAATTAAATAAATAACTAAACAACGTATTGGCTTTATTCCATTCATAGAAAATATTATTTCTAAAATTAAAGTACATTTCAAGGTTATCTGATTTTAGACCGAAAATTGTTTTATGAATATATTTAAACAATAAAATGATCCACACACATACATGTCTTATTTATATTATTAGACATTCTGAAGTAGGTATATGTATAAACAATTTATTCTTAAAATATTATACTTGGACCAAATCTATGATATTATACTAGCGATCGTGATTCATTCCAATGAGCTATTTAAACAATTAATTACAATTGTATTTTAATATTAAACCATTATTTAATGCCGTTTATTCAACAAAGGCGTACTACACACACAAATTTCTACATTGGTTTTTAACTAATAGAATAAACGGCTTCATACTTAAAACAGATCATGTTTAATAGTAAATAAATGTATATTAAAATATAGAACGTATGGTATTCAAAAATCTCCTAGCTTCGTAAAATAATAAAATAAAAATATTAAAAATAAAAGTCATAAAACTTAAGTAGTTTTAGAGTTTATAATTACATTATTTTTCATAATAACTTTACTACATAATTACATTAGAGATAATAGCGTTGACATTATAATTAAATTAAATGATCATAAGTTTTAAAAAAGTTCATAAGAATAAAAAAAATAAAATGGGAAATTATAATATTTAATATAGATTTATCCAAGTCGTGTCTTTAGTTCAATTTATCATTATAAATATGTGTCTAATAAAAAAAATAAACTCGTCTTTATATATTTTTTCTTAAATGTATAAAAGCTCATAATGTCAAACCTCCGCCACATTTTTTTTTCTATGTTGTTTTTGTACAATGTGATCTCAATTTTTAAATTTTATTGCCCCCTCCTGTTTGGTTTTTTTTTGATAGCGGTTTTTGAAACTTTTAAATGTTACCGATAATATATTTCAATAACTTTTTAAATTTAGAATAACGTACTACAGATTTTGACTGGTCGATAACCAGTTTTGGACCACTGTTTTTGAAATTATAAGAGTTTAAAAGTTAGGATAGGAGGGGAAGCGCGGTTGGGAAATGCGCGCTGATAAAAATTATACTACACTCCACCTTTCCTTCTGTCCTGAACTTGAAACTTCAAAAATAGTCATCCGAAACTGGTTATCGACCAGTCAACATTTTTAGTACATTATTCTTAATTTAAAAAGTTTTAAAAATATATACGTTACTATTCAAAGTTCAAAAGTTGCTGTCAAGAAAAGGTTGGGAGGAAAAATATAATTTGTATTTTGATTTTTTGTTTAAAAATCATTCTATACTATTAATCAAGCCTAATCATTCTCACGACTTAATGTTATGATATAATAAAAGAGCGACTTTCGGAGTAAAATCCGATTATCTTGTTAGTTTTTGCTCAAAAAATATGTCATTACGGTTTTATAAAAGTGATAGATGTAATATTTTTTCAATATAAAATATAAATTATAGAAAAATGTTGTTAGTTTACAATCAAACTTAAAAAATGTATTCGTCTGGTATGTTTTGTCAATATTATAGTATGAATCACAAAAAAACAAACAAAGCTGTTTTCAGCTTTAATGAGATGCGAAAATGTGTGTTAAGATGCGAAGATGTGTTTTACCATGTTTTTTTGTTAATACTTTAACAAAACATACACATAAAAAAACACCTTAACATACGTAGGTAATTGTAAATATTGTCAACTTTATATTATTATAAACCACCATATTATTCTTCGAGAATGGACTTTAATACCAATCGGCAAGAAAATCACTTTTATCTTATTTAATTGAAATTTAAACACGTTTTTTAAAGTAATAAAGCAGATTACAAAAAAACAGAATATGAATATGAAATACATTTTGGTTTTGTGTTTTACTATAAAATTCTTGGTTCAAACTGTTGCGTACAGTACCGATGACGTGGTAAGCATCATGCAAACTGAATAAACGGTTATCATCTTGTAAATTGTATTTTCTTTTTTTTTTAATTAAAAATATGGTTAATATATTTTTTTTATTAAGTTCCCCTTAATTGTAAAGTTTTTTAATTTTACCTAGAATTTGGTAGCAAGTTTTGTTATTGTAAGCAGAGATGTGCATCATTCAAATAATATGTTTTCTAAATAATCATCTAGATAACATATAAAAATAAACAGTATATACAAGTTTTACGAAAAATGTATACTATATTTATAACAATTATAGCGCTTAAATTTACATACCTTTTAAAACGTTTTTTAGATAACCTATAATTTTTAATGACGTGGGTTAATGCTTTTCAGGCTATAGAAAATTATGTAGTAAGCATCAACCAATATTCAGGCCAGGAAACTGCTCTTACTACGGCTCAATTATTGAATATTCTGGGCGACAACTATGTAAATTGTGTGAATATTTGTGTTGCAACAAATCGTATAAAAAAAAACGACTTAAGTAATCATTCAATTTACTACATTTATCATATAAGAAAAAACTTTCTGTGAATTATATGCGATCAATGAGTCAGGTGATGTTTGAAAGTATTATCATACGCATAAAAAAAAAATGAAACTTTTACATCTTACTTTTTTTTTATATAAAACATGATAAATATTATTCTAAAGCAAAATCGTATCACTGTAGTCCGGAAAATATAAAAATTAGTATAAAGATTCATAATATAAAACTCACTTTTGTCAAAATTTTTCGTGGGAAATTACATACGAGTTTGCTTGTTAATACATTATAAACAGCTGTAAAAAGGTTACCAAGCCAAATTTTACATTATTTGCATTAACTACTATTAGTTTAACTGGTTTTAAACTTGTAATAAAAAAGGCCAATAGGCAAACATTTAAATTTAATTTATGCCTTTTTTACAATATAAAAAACTGTTTACAAAAATAAACGCTGTATCGTTCGAGAACGTTAACATGGTCATATCAGAAAATCAAAATATTGCTAAATTTATTAAGAATTTGTTGAGGTTATATTATTAAAACTAAATCATATACTAATCATTTAAAACAATATTAAATAATTTAGTGTTTTCCTAGTATGGTGTCCCGCTGACTAAATAATAATTACTCATATAACATTCCATAGCTCTTATATCTGTCAAAAAATATTTTTATTAACTATTTTTCAAATAAGTTGGTTGTATTTTTTAATTACAATTTAGGTATTAAGAGTTACTCTGGCCAAGTGTAAAAGAGGAAAAATGTGTTATGTAGATTGTTAATGAATTTACTTTCACATACCTAACATACATTGTAATGACTTAACATCAATAGAAATACCTATTCATTGTTTGTTTTAGACTATGTAAATAATGTTCTATTCAGGATTATCGTGGGTTGCATTTGCGGAATAGAGAACAATACAGTACAAGAATTTTTAAGGAAACCAATTGTAAGAAAATTGTTTTAAAATATTATTCGAAAAATAATTTACACAATTCTGATTATAGGCAACCAAAATGTTTAGGCCAATAGTTCTAATTTATTTTATAAAATCTTATCAACAATTACAGCGCTTTTTTAAATTTAAGCTATCATTTTTATGGCGTGTTTCAATAATTTACAGGCTATAGCCAATTTTATAATACACTTCAATCAACATTCAGGTCGGGAAACTGCTCTTACTACGGCTCAATTATTGAATATTCTGGGCGAGAACTATGTAAATTATGTGAAAAATTATCTCAGGGAAAAGAGTATGACTACAAACGACTTAAGTAACCATTGAATTTACTACATTTATCATTTATCAATAAAAGCTTTCACCTAATATATATATTATAAGTTATAACGACCTATCATCAATAGTATTATTCATTGATTGTTTTAGACCATGTAAATATTGCTCTATTCAGGAATATTGTGCAATACATTTGCGGAAAAAAGAACACGACAATACCAGAATTTTTAAATAAACTAATTGTAAGCATAATGTTAGAAATATTATCGAATACGATTTTACACAATTCTTAATGTAGGCCAACTGTGAAATAGACAATTTGCTCTTGTTAATAACAAATAGTATAAAGCAAATCATTTTTTTAAGAAGACCTTTCAGTAAATTTTTCTTTGTGTCTTATGTATTTAATTTTTTTTAAATTAATATTAAAATATTATATATTAAGCTGTATTTTTTAATGCCTTATAGCATTAAAAAATCTGGCATTTTAAAAACTACTTAGGTCATAAACATAGCATAGATTATAACACCTAACATCTATAATATTGTTTATTGATGGGTTTAGATCAAGTAAATGATGGTCTATTCGGGGATATTGTGAAATTCATTTGCATACAAACAGAAGTGTCCGTAGAAAATGTTTTAATTAATTATTAATGATTCAATACTTTAATAAATATGGTTTTAAAATAAAAAATTGTTATTTGGAATTATTTAAAGTACAAATAGTAAAATTTTCTTAAAATTTAAGGTAAAGTATTGTAAAATAAATCATCATCGGACAAATTATTAAAATGATGCGAAGCACGATTGAGGGGCTTGCATACCCAATTTTAGTTGCATGGAATTTTATTTTAAACGTATTAGGATGCCTTGAATTAAAAGATGGAACTGATAAAGAAAGTTGAGATAGCAAATCTGGAGAGTCAATTGGGATATTAAAAAAAATTATCAAACTCTCTTTGTCGCCTACCAACGTTTCAATTTATACAGCACAACTAGTACGAAACGACGATATTTTATACTATATACTTTGATGAGCAACACTGCTCTTTTATAATTACTTAACTCTTAACCAGATCCTGTAGGAGTTATGTAGGTGATGGGAATGAGAGAACTCGGCAGAAAAGAAAGAAGTTCCAGACCGCCTGCCAAAAAAGTCAGCCTAAAAACTGTGTTAAGCAATAACACAAAAAATTGAGCTATGGATATAATCTTTAACTATAACAAACATTTTTTTTTAAAATCATTGTTCGAAAGTATTAAAATTATTATATGATTATTTATATAAACTATAAGTAGATATTGACAATGAAAAAAATTAAAAATTGAAAAAAAGACTTGAACCATAATTTAAATCCAACTAAAAATAAACGATTTTTTAAATTTATTTAAAAGTTAAATTGATTCAAATTTTTTTCCATTTTAACTAATCTTTTATGGGAGTCAGATATCTTGAGACGAAATAATGTGTGTTCATTACTCCAATATTAGCTGTTATTTTCTTTATATATTCGAAAAATATATACTAGCGTCTTTTAAAACGTTAAGATCCGAACGTTACAGTAATTCATACGTGATGTGATATTTTTTAATTATTTCATTTATCATCTTCACATGGCCGTAATCCTCTTCCTCCAAATGGATAGACAATGTGGCAATTTCGCTGTTACCGGATGTAATTTTTTTTTAGTGAACTAATTACACTTTTAATGTATTTATCTAACTGGGAGATTGTTCGATAAGCCCAATGGTCATTTTTCGAGTTATTAACTCATTAAAAGATCATTTGACTGATCAACACAAGAAGAGAAATTAGTCACAAAAGTAATAATTTGCTTATAGTGTTGCCCAGTGTACAAACCATTCAATTTACCAATACTTACCATATTTCTTAATTGTAAAAATAGGTACTGACTGTTTTTTTTCATATAGTTTAGGATTACCAAGACGAATCTCAAAGCCATCGTTTTAAGAGTGGTTATGAATTCATTTTGTATATGCCATTGCTCATCTTATATTTTAATTACTTTTATATTTTATTAAATTATATGATTTAAATATATGTAAAGCGGTCTTTACTTTTTATACTAATATGCCAACACAAATACATTTTTGATTTTAGCTTTTACCATAAAATTGTTGGTATTTCAGTCTGTGGTCGGAGATACAACACCCGACGAAGCGGTTAGGATAGGTTTGAATTCGACTTCGGTTTGAACTATTTAAAGTCGACATGAAACGCACCTGTTTAAAAAACGGGGTCGAGTGTAGGCAACTTAGCTACATATATGTAAATTAATTAATAGAAATAATGTATTATGTTTTGAAATTAAAAAAATGATTTTCTCAGGATTAACAAAAATTGACATTGATCTTTTTTCCCTGCAGCCCTTAATTTGTTATATACCCACAGTTATTTTATTTAAAATAAGAAACTTTTCTTTCATAAAATAATTCTAATTTTTAGTTTTTCTTTTTAAAATCATTTACAATTACTTTATTTGGAAATTGTTTGTACCAAAAAAATATTGAAATAAATTTAATACACATTATTTAACAAATGTTTTTCAAACTATAGAGAAACACTGTATGACGCAAATGGCAATGTTATTTGAAAATAACAGAACGTTCATATTTCAAAAAAATACTTGTGCCGGATAAAACATTTCGTTAGCATATAATAATTTTGGTTAGCGTTACAAGAAATTATTGTCAAATATTTCAAATATTCCTGATATTGTTTTAGCACAATAAATCAAAATGTTAAATATATTATTATACCGAGGTTTAAGTCATAAAACCATTGTTGAATAAGTTTCTTTTTAAAAGCAACCCGTTCAAATAACAAAACATATTGGGCACAAGTTGTATCTTGTGTTACCTATAAATTAATGTGACTCAGTACCTCTCCAAAAAATACAAAGTTAATATTAAATAGCAGAACGTACATGTTCTAAAAAACAACAGAGCCGGATAAAATATTTCAGTAGCAAAAAACAATTTTGGTTAACGTTGTATAAAATTATTTTCCAATATTTTATATATTAATTATTTTGAATAGGTATCATAAAATTACATTGTAATAATAAATAAGCCTTGATACCATTAGAAATGATTTTCGTTGCTAACCCAAAATAAACACTTGGTTTGTAACAATGTTAATCACGGTACTCGAATAGTAGGTGATGATTAATTTTATGTTGTGGCCAAAAGTTTCTTAATAATTGACCTTAATCGGTTTATTGGCAAAACATTCAATTGGTTAGTTATTTGGAATCAATTTAACCATTCATTCAAGTTTGTTCGTTGTGAAAACAACACATAATATCCCAACCCCTAACCCCATCCCAACTCCCATCCCTATCTCCATCCCCATCATATATAATGATAAAAGGATAAATTTTCGTTAGGTTTTTTGGTAACGCTGACGATTTTTCCGGTTGTGTGCCAAAGCAGACATAAAAAAACCAGTACAGTGGGGTCGGGGCATAGTGGGGACGGGGAGGTCACAGGTTTACAGGAATTTTTTAACCTGAAAGTGATAAAATCACTTTCGAAAAAACGCTTCGATGCAAATCGGTAGTTAGTATTTTCAAGCCAGTACAGTCCAAACCAAGCACAATATAAACCAGCAAAGTTAGAAAATTTTAAATTAAGGTTCTGTATTTACAAATGAGCATCAAAGCGTTAATTTGAAAGTGGCATAATGTAATCAAAGTAATAAGGAAACGGAGAGGGCACAGGTCTACAGGAATTATTATAAATAAAAGTGATAAAATTGAATAAAATCACTTTTAAATTAACGCTTTGATGCTCATTTATAAATACAGAACCTTAATTTAAAACTTTTTAACTTTGCTGGTTTATATTGTGCTTGGTTTGGACTGTACTGGCTTGAAAATACTAACTACCGATTTGCATCGAAGCGTTTTTTCGAAAGTGATTTTGTCACTTTTAGATTTAAAAATTCCTGTAAACCTTTGACCCCACTATGCCCCGACCCAACTATGCTCCGTCCCCACTATGCCCCGACCCCACTGTACTGGTATTTTTTTTCTTTTTGCAAAAACGTAGTGGACCAAATAATACAAAGTCTTGTTATATTTTGTTGGAATGGTCGACGATTCATGTTTCAATCGTTTGTACTCCATAGTTTAAATTATAATTATAATTATTGTGTGAATGTTAGCACATTAGTGTGATGTTTAGAGGCTTTAATTATAATAATTTTCAATAGTACATTTTCGTACTATTTTTGTGCAATATAAAGAAAAAATTGAATTTGCATTTTTATTACTTGTTTAAAAATTATTCTATACTATTAATCAAGCTTAATCATTTCCACGATCCATGTTATGATATAAAAAAATAATCATCCAATTATCATGTTACTATTACTTAGAAAATATTTTATTACGGTTTTATAAAAGTAAGAGATGTACTATTTTTTCAATATAAAATATCAAGTATAGAAAATATGTGGTTAGTTTAAAACCAAATTTAAAAAAGTTTTTCATCTAGTATGTCTTGTCAATATTATGGTATGAATCATAAAAACATATTCTGTTTTCAGCTTTGATGAGGAGCGAAAAGTTAGGTTTACGCTGATGTACTTTGTTTGTTTCGTATCTGTACCCACGATAAACTACTTATTTATAATTTCGAAGCAGCATATTATATCAATGTAAAATAAGGTAAAATATATAAAAAGCAATTTCGCTGCCAAATCCAACACGATATGGTATTTTTTTTAAATAAATTAAATTGTAATAAACATTTTCAAAACATATTTTTTCTCGTAGCTTACATCCATAGCTCGTGTAGGTACAAAAACACCAAAGGTTGTAATGTACACACGTAGGTTATTGTAAATATTGTCAACTTTTATATTATTATAAGCCACAACAGCGTTACAAGTAAAGCATGATTTTGTAGATAATATCTATATTATATTACTATGGAAATGTATACTTACTAAATGATTTGTTCTTATGGTATAAACATTCCTCACCCTTAAAATCGGAAAACCCCAAAAAATTTGATAATGGTTGGATTGAGCAAAAATTTATGAGCATAGGAAATTCGTTTATATAAGAGACATTTTTAATTGGAATGCAATGGATTGCCAATAGGCACAGTATATCAATCAAAATTCTTTTAATTTTTAAATTAATATCTAGATAATCAATGTATGACATAACAATGTATTTTGAAATTATTATTTTGATGATTGTTTTTATCCTATAAAAAATGTTCTACTATTTACACCCAATAAAATATACATTATTATGGTAAAACTTGTTTTTTATCAAAATAATTCTCCGGCATAAAAATATGTTTTACTTTACTTTACGCTAAAGTATTGTTTACAAAATAGCAAAAGCGTTCTACAGCAAACTAAAATTCTTAAAAACATACTGTTGTATGATAAAATATTATTTACATTATTAGCTTATTATTCTTCATGAATGCACTATAAATACAACTTACAAATCGATAATAAAATCACTTTTATAGTTTTTAACTGAAATTAAAACACGTATTTTAAAGTATTAAAAATTACAAAAAAACAGAATATGAATATAAAATACATTTTGGTTTTGGGTTTTACTATAAACTGCTTGGTTCAAACTGTTGCGTTCAGAACTACTGCAGCCGATGAGGTAAGAATCATGCAAACGGTTATCATATTGTAAATTGTATTTTTTTTTTTTTTAAATTAAAATTATGTCTAATACATTTTCTATTTCATTTTTTATTTAGTTCCCCTTGTATGTACATTTTTTCAATTTTACCTAGAATTTGGTAGCAAGCTTTGTTATAGCAATCATTCAAATAATATGTTATCTAAATAATCATCTAGATAACAAATAAATAAAAAACATATTAAAAGTTATTGAAAAGTTTATAATATATTTACAACATTTATTGCGCATAAATTTACTTATCTTTAAAGACTATGTGTTATATCCAGCTATAATTTTTAATGATGCGTTTTAATGCTTTACAGGTTAAAGACAATATTGCTATACAGAATTTTGTTGCTCGTAGTAACCGAAATACTAGACGGGACATTGAACTTACTACGACTCAATTATTGCATCTTCTGGGCGACAAATATAAAAATTATGTGGGTTTTTACAAAGGATTTAATCATGTGCCAGATGACCACTTAGGTAACCTTTTGATTTACTATATTTTTTATGTAATAAAAGCTTTCTCTAGAATTGATGCAAAGCTTTGAGGCAGGAGGTTCTAGGAAGTATTTTTATTCGCAAAAAAAAAAAATGAAACTTATAAATTTTACTTTTTTTTTTTATAAAACATGATAAATATTATTCTTAATAAAATCTTATCACTGTAGTCTGGAAAATGTAAAAAGTAGTAAAATTATTCATATTATAAAACTCACTTTTGTCAACATTTTTTGTAGGAAATTACATACGAGTTTGCTTATTAATACATTATGAACAGTTATAAAAAAGTTACTAAGCCAAATTTTACATTATTTGCATTAACTACTATTAGCTTAACTGGTTTTAAACTTGTAATAAAAAAGGCCAATAGCAAACATTTAAATTTAATTTATGCCTTTTTTACAGTATAAAAAATTGTTTTTAAAAATAAACGTTGTATCGATCGAGAACGGTGACATAGTCATATCAGAAAATCAAAATACTGCCAATTTCAATCAGAATTTGTTCAGGTTATATTATAAAAACTAAATCATATACTATTCACTTATATCTATATTAAACAATTTAGTGTTTTCCCTTCAAACAACATTTCACAGCTCTTTATCTGTCAACAAATATGTTTAATAACTATTTTTCAAATAAATTAGTTTTTAATTTTTTATTACAATTTGGGTATTAAGAGTTATTCTGGCCAAGTGTAAAAGAGAAAAAATGTGTTATGATCTACATTGACTATCTAAGTCAATAAAGTAACTTTCACTCTAATGTTTTGGGCTGATGTATGGTGGGTACTGAGTAGTATAACTTTGATTCTTTAATCATTTTCCTGGATATTGTGCAACTGCTGTATATATTATAACATTATACCTAACATACATTGTAATGACTAAACATCAATAGTATTACCTATTCATTGTTTGTCTTAGACTGTGTAAATATTGAACTATTCGGCCTTATCGTGAGATTCATTTGCGTACAAAAGAACACGACAGTAGCAGAATTTTTAACTGATCAACTTGTAAGCATAATTTTAGAAATATTATTCAAATAAGGTTTTACACAATACTGAATGTAGGCAAACTGTCAAATAGACAATTGGCTCTTGTATTGCATTGTTAATAATAGATAGTATAGTATAAATAACTTTTTCCAGAAGACCTATGAGTGAATTTATCGTTGTGTTATCAGGATTTTATTTTTTTAAATAAATTAAATAATTATTATTACATTAACTTTGAATAAGTTACTTTGGTTAATTTTCTATTTTCATTTCACATAAAACTGGCTAGTGTGTTGTGTGATTGCAGACAAACCAATGTAAAAGGCTACTTGCCCTATTGTAATTGTTTTTTTAGAATAATGTTGTTGTTTTTTAAAACGGAAATTGCGAACGCTAGTTAATATATTAATATTAATATTAATTATTATGTTTAAACTAAAAAATTATCTCATTTAGTTTTATTTATCGTAAGGGGTAATATCATCCAATTTGTTATATTTTTCTAAAATGTCGTAATCAAATTATAATGTTAGAAATTCATTTAAATGATATTATATTTAAATATAAATTTAAAACATAAATAAGGTTAAGCTAGTAATTATTTGAAAACTGATTTTTTTAACTGTCCAATTATTTAATTATTTGGCTAACGTTTTGAAATACATAATATTTTGACAAAGTTATTACAAAAAAAATTTTTAGGATAACTTTTTGTAAGATACTGCATATTATTTATATGATGGTAACTTATGTAAGATGAACCAGAATATATCATTATCTCGAAATATTTGAGCAAATAGTTTCTATTTATTTTCTAAAATCTTGTCAACCATTATAGTTCCTAAATTTACATACTTTTAAAGATGTTACATTATATTAAAATATAATTTTTAATGCCTTTCAATACTTTTCAGGCTATAGACAGTGCTATAAAACGTTTCAACAGTAAGCCAGGTCATACAGGTCTACTTACTACGATGGAATTATCGTCAATGTTAAATTGTGACAGTAATGTGGCAAATTATATGAGAGAAAGAACATATACTCCAGATGACTTAAGTAACCATTAAATATATTACATTTATCATTTAATAAAAGCTTTCTCTGAATTTGATGCGAAACTGTGAGTCAGTGGTTTTAGGGAGTATTTCTTATTCGCAACTACAAAAAATGAAACTTTTAAATATTACTTTTTTTCATAAAACGTTATAAATATTTTTCATAGAACCACTTCTTACGATAGTAGTCTAAAATATGTAAATATTCCTGAAATTTATTATATTATAAAACTCACTTTAGTCAAAGCTTTTTATTTATCTTTATTAGCATAGAGATTAACTTTTTCACAAAAAACCTACTTAGGTCATGAACCTAGCATAGATTATAACACCTTACATATACAATATTACTCATTTATGGTTTTAGATCAAGTAAATGATGACCAATTCGGGGACATGGTGAAATTCATATGTATACAAAGGAGCGTGTCAGTAGAAGTATTTTTAGGTGCGATACAATGATTCAATACGTTATGTGCTGGGCTATTATAACTTTTAAAGGACTATTATTATAAAATATTTATTTTTAAATCGTTTGTGAAATTATAAAATGTAATGTACTAATAAAATATAATAAATATGGTTTGAAAATATAAAATCGTTATTTGGATTTATTTGAAATACGATCGGAATGGTTAGTTTTCCTCTTATAAATATCTTAGGGTTTTTTTAAATCCAGTAGCCCGTAAAATTAATATTTATGTTCGCATTGCTCGATAGGTGAGTACACCGACAACTAGACACAAAGAAAAGTTTTGGGATAGTTAGAGAAGAGCCTAGACCTAAGCACTAAGGAATCCCTCAAAAATATTTAAAACAAAATACAAACTATTAAAGGACTTTTGCCAAATGTATACCGATCCTAAGGAAATATTCGGGAGTGATGATATATATACACTGTGGTTAAGTTTGTTTTATGGCTCATACAGAAACTGTTCAAGTGTTAAGTAATAAAACAAAAATTTGAGCTATGGATTTAATCTTTATCTATAACAAAAAAAAGAACAGTGTTTAACATATAAAATCACTTTTTGAATATATTTTTTCACGTTCTTGTTTTCAAAATTGAAACTAAAAAAAAACTGAATACCCAATTCAACAATTCACATTTTTACAATTTATCTGCAGTAACGGACAGACTTCAGTATCTGCTTTTTTACTAATAAATTGTACGGTTGTATTTGTTTGTATTGTCCTACGTATCTAAGATATTAAAGTTTTTATTTTTGTAAATAAAGAACATCTTTTTGAGTAAATGCAAAATCAGATAAAATACAAAACAAATATATCAACATTATAAATACTGATTTTGAAATATAAATTTTATTTAATGATTTTAAACCCTTCAAGATTCTCGGTGCTTATATGATACTGCGCAAGAAATAAAATAGGTTTGTCGAACATTTAAATACAAAAACAAAACATGTTAAGAAAAATACCTGGTTTTCGAAAAAAAAAAAAATAAAACCATACAAATTGTTTTTGTAGAATATGAAGATTTTTATAATATTCGGAGTTTGTGATACCTATCGGAATATATCATATTTTGTTTACATTATAACAGTCGCTGTGAAAAACAGCTTGGTTTTGATAAAAAAAAAATAGGTACTCGACACAGTTATAACAACATATTATTCAAACACCAGCATCAAAAATTTACATTACTTATTACGTTAAAACATAATAGATTATAATACAAACCAATTAAACAAATGCTCTAATTAATGTATCTCTAGACTTTATATGGTTAATGTAAAAGACGTTGTCATTAGAATTTAAAATTTACAATAAAAATAAAGTCAAATATAAAGGATTAAAAATATTTTATTTATCATTTGTGTACCTAAACTTTTATACCATTTATATTCTCGCATTTTAAACCTTGATGTTACCCTGATGTTGCCCTGATAAGTTTTTAAATTTTTATTAACTACTTATTATAATAACGAACATAATACTATCACTTTTTCTTAAACATCTTGAAATAATAAACAAAAAATTACAAATAAAATGTTTACTGATTTAGGAATATGTATCAATTTTAGCATCAGTTTAAAACCATCAATACTGATTTTGAAATACAAGTGATTTTAAGCCCTTCAAGGTTTTCGGTGCCAATATAATAATTTGATCAAATAGTGTACAATAAGTTACGGCAATAAAGATGTTACCTCAACATGTTGTCATGTTGAAAAATAACCATGCAATTTAAAACCATACAAATTGTGGAAAAATATTGTATTAAGTTTTAGAAGCGTTTCTAAAAATACCTTTTATGTGTAATACGTAAAATAGTAATAATTAGACATAATAATTAGACTATGCAAAAAATAAAATAGGTCAAACTTTTAAACACAAAAACAACTGCAAAACTAAATATGTTAAGAAAATCAATTGGTTTTCGGTAAAAAAAATAAGTAATAAAAGTGTACAAACTTTTTTTTTTAAAATACGAAGATTTTTATAATGTTTAAAGTCGCTGTGAAAAATAGTTTGATTTTGATAAAAAAAACGACAATACAATATTGGAGTACAATTTTTATTAAAGTATGCAGATTCAAGTTTAAATTTACTTGATAAATGATTTTACATTTGAAAAACACCTTAATATACGTAAGTTCTTGTAATGACAACTTTTAGAGCCCTTCAAGATTCTCGGTGTCAATATGATAACTTTATCAAAATGTGTACAACAAGTTACGGAAATAAAGATGGTACTTCGTAGAGTTCGGGTTTTAACATAAGTGTATATTATTTTTTTACGAAGAAAGCTTTGTAAATAATTTATTTACTTTTAATTTTCAAACATAAAGTGTGTATACTCTGTAATACAAGTATTATTTTCACTTGGTCAGATGGATATAAAAATGCAAAAAGAGACTGACTTAAGTTTATGGTTATTGATTAAACACATAAGAGCCCTTTACATGTAGCCTAATCACATAAAGAGTGAAATAACATATATTTATAGCTATTTTTTAAAAAAAACTAACGCCGAAACTAAATTCGAACTTTTATAATTGTAGTTGCTAAGGTAGTTCTTTATTAACTTATAACTTGTTTAATATAAATTAAAGACGACTTTGAGATACATTTTTTAAGAGATAATCTATGCGTCTACGACCGAAAAGTTATTGCAGCAGTTTTTTAGTGTCCACATTTTTATTTTTATTCCAACTACCAAAATGTTACAGCCGATATTAGTTGTATATTTCTGTTAGTTATACTATTTAATATTACATATGTTTTTAATAATAAATATTAAATTAACTATAATATTAAGTCAAACAAATACAGAACAAGCGTATTCACTATAACTTATGTAAAGTAGAGTTCTACTTTGCATGCTTCTTTGTTAAAAAACATGCTTTGATTAGTAAACAAAAAAACCTCCAATCGCACCTATGACTCATAGGCTATGAAGCAGGTGTTATTGATATTTGGGTCAGAGGCTCAACGAAAAATAATGATATATTCAATTATAATGTAAATAAATTTTATTAATACTATATTATAAATTCCAACCATACAAACTGTGAGAAAATATTGTATTTAGTTTTAAAAAATGTATCGTTAATTTTTTTGCAATTAAGACATTTTAGCTAAAAAAGTTGAATACATGAAATATTAATGATTAGAAATAATATAGTTCAAAAGGTAAAATACAAGCATAACCACAAAACAAAATACGTTAAGATTAATAACTTGTTTTTGAAAAAAAAAAACAATATGTAATCTGAATAATTAAAAACAATAAGAACGGTTTTTGTAAAGTATGCAGATTCTTATGGTTTTTAGAGTATGTGGTAACTACAGGATTTTTTCATAATTAGTTTACATTACACTAGTCATTGCTAAAAACAACATGTGTTTGGTAAAAAAAAAAACAACAGTAAAACGTTAGTAAAATTGGTTGTTGTTAATTAGGTTAATTATGATACTAATAGGTATTCATCATAGGTTTCCAATTTACTTGATAAATTGTTTTACAAAAAATCCTTAAACTAAGTTATATTTATAAAACACGTACGCTATAGATAAATTTAGTACATATATTTCTGTGGCTTAAGTCTAAAAGGGCCAATCTCACTTTTTGCAACTTTCGGAAAATTTAAGTTGAAACAACTATATATTTTTTCTGTGTAGGAGGGTAGTATACAAATGAATAGTATAGGTATTTTATACAGGTTAATTCTTTTATCATGAGCCACTCAATATCTCATAGAGTTTAATAAGAAATTACATTGTTTTTTTTTCATATTGTTTTTATACAATGAGATCTCAATTTTTCAAAAAAAATTATGTTTTTACCCTCCTCCCAACTTTTGCAACTTTTGAAATATAAATGGTAACGTATATATTCTATTAACTTTTAAAGTTGAGAATATTGTACTAAAAATGTTGACTGGTCGATAACCAGTTTCAGATAACTATTTTTGAAGTTGTTGGAATTTCAAGATTAGGGCAGGAGGAAAAGTGGAGTATAGTATTATTTTTATCTTCGCGCATTTCCCAACCGCACTTCTCTTCCCATCTTAACTTTATATTATTATGGTAAAACATGTTTTTCATCAAAACAATTCTTCGGCATAAGAATATGTTTTGCTTTGCTTTACGCCAAAGTATTGTTTACAAAATAACAAAAGCGTTCTAAAGCAAACTAAAACTTTTAAAAACATACTGGTGTTTGATAAAATATTATTTACATTATTAGCATGTTATTCTGCGAGATTGCACTATAAATACAACTTACCAATCGATAAGAAAATCACTTTTATACTTTTTAACTGAAATTTAAACACGTATTAAAGAGTATTAAAGATTACAAAAAAACAGAATATGAATACAAAATACATTTTGGTTTTGTGTTTTACTATAAATTTCTTGGTTCAAACTGTTGCGGTCAGACGACGTACTGCCTATGAAGTGGTAAGAATCATGCAAACTGAATCATCTTGTAAATTGTATTTTCTTTTTTTTTTTTAATTAAAATATGGTTAGTATATTTTTTTTTATTAAGTTCCTCTTAACTGTAAATTTTTTTAATTTTACCTAGAATTTGGTAGTAAGTTTTGTTATTGTAAGCAGAGATGTGCATCATTCAAATAATATGTTATCTAAATAACCATCTAGATAACATATAAATAAAAAACATATTAAAAGTTATTCAAAAAGATTATAATATATTTACAACATTTATAGCGCTTAATTTTACTTATCTTTAAAGACTATGTGTTCTATCCAGCTATAATTTTTAATGATGCGTTTCAATGCTTTTCAGAGCAGAGACAATATTGCTATACAGAATTTTGTTACACGTAGTAACCGGAATTCTGGCCAGAGAACTGCTCTTACTACGGCTGAATTATTGAATATTGTGGGCGACAAATATAATGATTATGTGGACACTTATCTCACTGAAAATAATATGACAAGTTCCCACTTAAGTAACCATTTGATTTATTAAATTTATCGTATAATAAAAGATTTCTCTAGAA